CACTGGGTGTTGTATGGAAACAAATTTGACAATAAATTTTATATATTAAAAAAAAACTATCTTCCCATATTTGGTAATAAAAACAGCTACCATAAGCAATTTCATATAGATATGTATATATATGTATATATCTATATACATACACACACACACACACACACACAATTCCCATTAGTCCTTACAACAACCCTATCATTCCTCTATTACAAATGAAATTTGAGGGGCGCCTAGGTGGCGCAGTCGGTTAAGTGTCCGACTTCAGCCAGGTCACGATCTCGCGGTCCGTGAGTTCGAGCCCCGCGTCGGGCTCTGGGCTGATGGCTCAGAGCCTGGAGCCTGTTTCCGATTCTGTGTCTCCCTCTCTCTCTGCCCCTCCCCCATTCATGCTCTGTCTCTCTCTGTCCCAAAAATAAATAAAAAACGTTGAAAAAACAAATGAAATTTGAAAGTTTTATAAGAACAAGATCAGAAGATTCATGATCACAAAACTAGTCTGTGATGGATACACACCTGCATATCTTGGCATGTTTCACTCAAAGGCAATGCTCAGCTCATCCAGTCTCACATGGAAAAATTAAAAATCCTGAAATCATCCTAAAAATTCTACTTTTTCTATATTCTGCCACTCAGTCCTATCTATCCTACTACCTAAATATTTCTCATACTAGGCCTCTCTATACCTATGACCTCTGTTTAGCCCTTAAACATTTCTCTCCTAATGCACTGCAATAACCACCTTATTGATATTCTGCCTCAATCTCAACCAATGATAGGGTTCTTTCTATATTTAAATTTCATCATGTTGCTACCCTACTTAAAATTTTATAAAGAGTTCCAACTGCTGGGGCGCCTGGGTGGCTCAGTCGGTTGAGCATCCAACTTCGGCTTAAGTCATATCTCCCTGCTCATGAGTTTGAGCCCTGAGTTGGGCTCTATGCTGACACCTCGGAGCCTGGAGCCTGCTTCAGATTCTGTCTCCCTCTCTCTCTCTGCCCCTAACCCACTCTCATTCTGTCTCTGTCTTTCAAAAATAAACATTAAAAAAAAATTTTTTTTTAATTAAAAAAAAAAAGAGTTCCAACTGCTAACCAGGTAAAGTCCATTTATCTTTCTAACCTCATCCCACTGTTCTACAAATGCACAGTAAGCCTGTCATACTGCACAACCTGTCTCTCTTAATGTGGTGGCACTCACTGGTTCCTTAGCTCACAAGGTTCCCTTTCTATACGAATGACTTCTAATCATCCTTCCAGATTTAGTTCAAGTATCACCTCCTCAAGGAAGCCCTTCTTAACCACTCCAACATCAACCCTCTCCCACTGAACAGATTAGGCATTTCTTTGTACTCCCATAGCACCTTTTCCTTAGAGCTAACGGAAACTCAGCATAGGCTATTCTAACCATTGTTTTTCTGTCTCTTCCTCCTGGCTCAGAGTTCTCTGAGGACAGAGATTTTTATATTAATCTCATATCCTTAGCATAACCTGTTGAACACAGCCAGCATTCCACCGTATATATGCTAAATGACACATTCTGAAAAGTGAAAGAGTTGCAGTCAGGCTTACATCACAGCATAGAATGTGTGAAATTATCAGGAATCAGTCTTCCATATTTAATGGGAAGGAAATCAAACACTCCTGAAAGTACTTCCAGGAAAGTCATTTAAGGACAACAAAGTACCTAAAAAAGAAGCAGAGAACTTAATAGGCTTTAGGGAAACACAGTGAAATAATTTACTTTGAAAACATGATAAATGTAGGGCACCTGGGGTCTCAGTCAGTTTGTCCTCCAACTCTTGATTTCAGCTCTGATCATCATCTCACTGGATTGGGATCTGGCCAGCGTGGGGCTCTGCACTGAGCATGGAGACTGCTTGGCATCTTCCTCTCTCGGCTCCCTTCCCCCGCCCCCCCCCCCACTACAGCTCTCTCAAAATAAATAAATACACATTTTTAAAAACAAGGAAAAACTAAAGTGGAAAAAGAACCATAATAAATATAACCCAATAGTTTCATAGAACCAATAGAAATGCAAGATACATACATAGCTATAACCAACCTTCTTTTACACTAATTTTGAAATATTACTGAAAGTTACTTCAGGAATACAAATCACAAACTGACGAGGTAATGAAATTCGCTGTCAGAGATGATTTCAAATAATCTTAACTTTTCCTCTCCGTTCTCAAAGAAGATAAATTTTTGAAATTCACATTTCCTCAGCAGGTATTACAAGTGCCTGTCTTCAACGTGTGGATACACCCAGAATGACACCAGTAAAAACCATGGTTAAGTGAAAGTTTGCTTGCCTCAGCTGTAGGACGCCACAACATACAACCTAAACCACACTCACGAGTTACGGCTGTCCGGAGCTAAAATGTCTGCCTGGCAGGCAACTTTAAGTCCTGCACTCAGAAGGATCTGGGAAACGGGCTGCAACAAAGGCCTAAACACGGTTTGGTCAGGAATGGCCACACGAGACATTAACGAGCCCAGACCTGCTCAAAGACCGCCCTCCACGCGCGCGCGCCCAAGAGCCTGGCTTCGGCCGCTTCCCGCCCCTCGGTTAGTGGAGGGGAGGAGAGCACACGGCGGCCAGTGGCGCTTGCACGCCGACCGGGACAAGTTGAGGAGAAGGGACTCCCGAGACTACGAGAAGATAAGAATGAATGGCCGTTAAGCACACAACACTACCTTCTTGCTCGCGGGAGGCAGGCAATTACCATCCACCGTCGGACCTGACAGCGTCCCGCAAGGTTCACGGGCCCAGCCTCGCGGATCTCGGACTCGCCCCCAGCGCGCGCGGCGGGGTGGGCCCTAGGCGCGCAGCACTTAGTCCCGCCCTTCCCGAGGAACGTGGGATTGACGCTGTCCGCGGCCAATCCCCTGACGGCGCGTTCGGCTCTGAAAGCTTCCGCAAGCTGCGCTGCGCTGCGCTGGGGTTGATCATTGGCATTCGGCCTGGGAGAGACGCCGTCGCCGCGGAGCTAGTTCTGCTCCCAGCTGGCCGGCGGGTGAGTGGTCAAAAACGGCTGTCGGGGATGTGCTGCTAGGTAGGGAGCTGCTAGCCGGCCAGGGTAGGCTTGAGGGGAGAGAGTGAACTACGGTTGCGTCCGGGGCTCCCAGTCTGACCGTGCGGGTCTAGTGGCCACCGAGGCTTGCCCCCACATTCTCGTCGTCTTGCCGTGGTACTGGCGGGATGTGTAGCTCTGAGAAGGACGGGGAGGGTGGAGGAGGCCCTGCGGGGGTAGCAGCAGCGACTTTTGCCTAGCTTTTACTGGCCAGGCGCTCCAGCATTCGGGGAAAGCTGCCCGTGGTTGTCTGGCTGGCGATGGAGTCCCCAAGAGGGTCCTAGCGGGTCGCAGCCCTCGGGGCACTCGCGTAGGCAGACAATGTCGGAAGTCTTTGTCCTGAAGCGGCGCGGCTGCCTTCTTGCAAAGATTTTGTGAACCGGCGTAGGGTCCGTGCCACACCAGCTTTGCCTTCCAGGCTAGATATAAATCTTAAGCCTTTTTCGAGCTTTATTTTTTTCCCCCTCCATCCTGTAGAAAAATGGAAAAGTATCTTGAGTTGTGGTATCTTTTAAATATAACCTATAGCTCATGAAAATAATGTACGATGCAAAGTAGATGTGTTTAGGTTAGAAGAAGTATTTACACACGTAAATTTGAGATTTTTGCTTCTTAGTGCGACAACTTTCATAACCATAAACCTTGATGCGTGCGTTTTCCATAGATTTTTGGAAAGAGAATGAGGCATTTTACTCTGGAAACACTTGTTGCATGCAGTTATGGGAAATTCCTCTCTCAGTGCCAACTCTGTTATGGAAAGGGTTCATTTATTTCTAAATCAGCTGTTCCAAATATACTTTCACCATGTCCCCCTTTCAGTCTCACTGGTTGGTTTTTACTGGGATGATAGGTATTCTTCAAGACAGTTATACTTTTTTCAAGGGATTCTTAGAACCAAGTAAATGCCAGCATTAAATTAACTGGGAACCAGTAATCCATTTCTCCTTTGGTGTTCCACTTGAATGCAATAAAGGGAAAAACTTAGAAAATGAAAGAAAAAAAACCTAAAATTTAAGGAGAGTTGACAAGTTAAAGGAGGAATCATTGTTGTAACCTTACTGTACCAGGGGACAGAAACAAGCTTTATCCCTTGACCATATAAATTTTTCACCACATTATGTTCCTCCCAGGTTCAGTATTTAAAAAGAAGTGAATTCCACTCTTTATGGAAACAACATTACATTATATGTAAGAGTCTGGCTACTCATAATAGACTAGCTGCATCTACTTTACTTTTTTTTTGTCATCTTTAATTCAAGTGTGTAATTAACATACAGTTTTCTATTTAGTTTCAGATGTACAATATAATGATTTAATAATTCTGTACATTTCTCAGTGATCATCAAGATAAGTGTACTCTTAATCCCCTCTATTTATTTCATCCATCTCCCCACAAACTTCCTGTCTGGCAACCACCACCAGTTTGTTCTCTGTGTTTATATGTCTTTTTTTTTGGTGTTTGTGTGTGTGTGTGTGTGTGTGTGTGTGTGTTTCTTAAATTCCACATATAAGTGAAACCATATGGTATTTGTCTTTCTCTGACTTATTTCACTTAGCAGTATATTGTCTAGGTTCATCAATGTTGTTGCAAATGACAAGATTTCGTTCTCTTTTATGGCTGAGTAATATTCTATTATATACATACATCACATCTTCTCTATACATTCATCTGTGGATAGATACTTGGGTTGGTTCCATATTTTGGCTGTTATAAATAATGCTGCAGCTTTGGTCTTTTTTTTATATTGGTCTTTTCTGTTGCTATGTTTAGCTCCTGAGCTTTCACTTTGGTCTCATAAGAAAATGTAGGTTTTCTTTCAGTTGAGTTTTCCTGTCCGTTATTTCATTTAGTAAAACCAGCATGCTAGAACACAAGCTTTAGGAAAGGGATTTTAATTGCTTATTTTATCAATAAGAACTGTAAAAATAAGTTGTTAGTCTTATCATGAAGTCAGATTTAAAAATTATTTACTGCTTTTATTAGAAGATCTGCAAATAGCATATTTTGGTGAGTGTGTTTATTTTATTTCAGAACAACCAGAGAAAAATGATCCTAGTAACACACTTATTTTGTCATGTGAGAGTAGAGTATTTAAGTTTCCAGTTCTGTCGGTGTTGATTCATTTCATTGCTTTCCTACAGAGCAAACATGAATGTTGGAGTTGCCCACAGTGAGGTGAATCCAAATACCCGTGTAATGAACAGCCGGGGTATGTGGCTGACATATGCCTTGGGAGTTGGCTTGCTTCATATTGTTCTACTTAGTATTCCCTTCTTCAGTGTTCCTGTTGCTTGGACCTTGACAAATGTGATACATAATCTGGTAAGAATTTCACCTTATATAAAGCGGTTAAAAGCCTATGCTTTAGTGCTTATCGGGGGCTGAGGGAGAAAGAAATGGGGAGTTGCTGTTTAATGAGTACAGTTTCAGTTTTGCAAGATGAAAAGAGTTCTGGAGATAGATGGTGGTGATAGTTGCATAACAGTGTGAATGTACTTAATGCCACTGAACTGTACACTTAAAAAATGATTAAGATATATTTTATGTTATGTGTATTTAAAAACAATTTGCTAAAAGCTTAAATCTTTATGTTAAAGAAAAGAAAAACATGGGGCGCCTGGGTGGCCCAGTCGGTTGAGCATCCGATTTCAGCTCAGGTCATGCTCTCACAGTTTGTGGGTTTGAGCCCCACATTGGGCCCTGTGCTGACAGCTCAGAACCTGGAGCCTGCTTCAGATTCTTTGTCTCCCTCTCTCTCTCTCTGCCCTTCTCCTCGCACTGTCTCTCTGTTTCTCAAAAATAAATAAACATTAAAAAAAATTTTGTTTTTCTACCACAAAATTAAAAAAAACACCACTTAGTTTAAAAGTTTTATTGAGGTATAATTTTTAATGTATGTAACATAAAACTTGCTGACTTAAAAGTGTACAGTTCAGTAATTTTTAGTATATATGATAACTTTGAAGATATCCATATCTAATATGGGATAGATAGGGTTATCTATTAATTCTTTATATTTAAACATCGGCCCTTTCTCTAAGCCTTTTTTTCTCCTTTTGGTTTCATAGGATCTAGAAAATAGGCCATTTTAGCAACACTTCCAAGATACTGTAATTCAGGCTACTATAGTATTAAAGAGAATGCTTCAGAAGAAGTTATGGTTTTTGATTAACTGGAGTCTAATAAACATCTTCGGTTTCAATCCTTGTTAGAAACTTTTCTAAATTGTTTAAATATACTTTCCTGGTTCAGTATAGAAATTTTGAGCTTAATCATACATTATTGAGGATCTTATAGTGCCTTAGCTTCTTCATGTTGACTGTGGGTCTTCTGTACTATAGGATAGCTCTACAAAGTATCAGAGATTCAGTTGACTCTATTGACCATATGATGCAGCCCTGGAAATTATCTGTTTAAAAAAAGAACAACTGATAGTGACTTTTCTTATCTTTAACAGCCTATGAAAGCAGAATGAAAGGGGAGAAATACAATTAATTCAAATTTTTAATTGAATCCAGATTAACTATGTATTTCTTTATTCCCTGTCTTCTGAAGATTATTTGAATTTGACTGGAGGAGGGCAGGATAATGTGGTAAAAATAAGTGAATGTCCATTTAGTACATTTTATGCAATGGACTTTGATAGGGCAAACACTAGTTTTAAGTAGCAACTTCTCTGAAATATTTGACAAGAATTATATCTTTTACTAGAATTCCTTTCCTTTGGCTTCCATGGGATCACTTTTTCCTAGATATTTCTGATTTTTCCTTCTTTGTTTCTTGTACAGTCTTCTATTTTCGTCTCCTAAATATTGCTGTCTCCAAGGTTCGTTTTTTCATCTCTTTTTATTCTATGTATTGTGCCTAGGGTACTTCATCTATCCATATTTTCAGTTTCTACCCTAGAACAAACAAATATAAATTGAACTCATTCCTGATCTCTTACCACTTATGACCCGTTCCTCTGGCTTTATTCCTTATCTAATCTAAAGGCACCACTGTATGCCCAATAAGTCAAGCCAGATAGCTTCAAAGGTAAAGTGATTCATATAATGTATTATCGAAACTGAGTCTGTTTTTTTTTTTTTTTTTTTTTCAACGTTTATTTATTTTTGGGACAGAGAGAGACAGAGCATGAACATGGGAGGGGCAGAGAGAGAGGGAGACACAGAATCGGAAACAGGCTCCAGGCTCTGAGCCATCAGCCCAGAGCCTGACGCGGGGCTCGAACTCACGGAGCGCGAGATCGTGACCTGGCTGAAGTCGGACGCTTAACCGACTGCGCCACCCAGGCGCCCCAGAAACTGAGTCTGTTTTGAGAGTAAAAGGGAACTCTAGTAATAACTAATCCAAGAAAACAGGTATAAATCAGGACCATCCGTGCCAACTAGGATATATGGTCACTCTAGTTTTAGGTTAACTGCTTTTCCTTTATCTTCCATATCCATATAGTCAAAGCCCTGTCTGTTCTGCTTTACTGTCTCTCAACTTGATCCCCACAGATATTACTGTAATTTATACCCTTATTTTTTTCTCAGGTGGATTACTCCAGTAGATCAAATGGTCTCCTTGATGTTCTTCTATTCTACTCTCCTCCATTCCAACTTGGCACAGTTATTTTTAAAATGCATAGGGGCGCCTGGGTGGCGCAGTCGGTTAAGCGTCTGACTTCAGCCAGGTCACAATCTCACGGTCCGTGAGTTTGAGCCCCGCGTCGGGCTCTGTGCTGAGTGCTCAGAGCCTGGAGCCTGTTTCCGATTCTGTGTCTCCCTCTCTCTCTGCCCCTCCCCATTCATGCTCTCTCTCTGTCCCACAAATAAATAAACGTTGAAAAAAAAAATTAAAAAATAAATAAATAAAATGCATATATGCTTAAGTCATGCTCTAAGTCCTTTTATGATTCCCCATTACATTCATAATAAAATAACAAGTTTATTATGTGGCATATAAGACCAGTTGAATAGTATAGAGGCAAGAAAAGGACTCAATCTTATCAGCTCATCTCCAAACAGGAATTTTTCTCTAACAATAATGAAAATGATCTTGCTTTCACCTTTTTTTGCTTTGGCTTAGGCTCTTTTTCCACTATTTTAATACCCCTTCCTCCATCCCCCTCTGCCAGGCTGATTCTTAGTGCAGGAAAACTACTCAAATATCACCTCCAGAAAACTACAAAACTCCCATCCTACATTCTTTTATCCTTTATTTATCATAGTTTTATAATTAGGAATTTATCTTTTTATTTTCCATATCTCTAAAGACTTATGTAAATGTTTGCTGAATTAATTAGTCTATATTGTCATGTAATTTTCTCTTCTCCAATGAGACATGTATTAAATGTACTTTAGAAGTCACCCCCTCCCCCGCCCTATGTTTTCAATTGGCTAACTGATATTGAAACACAATATATGGCCACGTGGTAATTGACAACACGTAGGGAAGCAAACTTCTGACTTATTAGTTCACCACACTAAAGACCTACGTACCAGCCATAGATGTAAGCAATTACATGACTCCAAATTTAAGTTTCTTTTGAAGATAGCCCACTTTAAACCAGTTAAAAATGTGAAATATATTCTGAATGCTTTTAAATGGGAAAGTAGACCTGGTTGTTATCCCTGGTTAGAAAAAACACAGTCTTTGCCTTTTGGGTCACATAGTCTTCAGAATTTAAAAGCGTGTAATTTCTGTTTTATTGTCTCCCGTAAAGCCCATGTGAATATGGTTTCTTTGTGCTTACAGAATAAATATCCCTTAGCTTACCTTCATCTTGGCTTAATGTCTAATACTTGCTATATACTAGCCCTTGTTCCTGAGGTATTCAGGCTAATGGAAAAATAAACATGTAAACAATTCCAACAATATGTTGTGCTATAAATAAAATATTTTCAATAAAATTCTATACAAGCACATAGGCTACTACTAACGAGGAGGGCCTCATTAAGGATTGTCATTTGAGCTGAACCTTCAAGAATGAGGTAGCTGACAAGGTAGCATCACAGCTTTTGCCTCAGCAACAAGGAACCTTTCCTTCTTTTGTATTTGCTGAATACTCTGATTGTACCTATGATAGCAATTTCTGATCTACATTCTAATTGCTTATGCATATCTTTTTTTTTTTCTCATCGTCTCTTAGGAGATTGAGTTTTTTTCAAGACTGTGGACATGTTTTACTCAATTTCATAAATGCATACATGTCCTGTGTCCTATACACATAAGCCACTTGATAAATTTGTTGAGTTAATCCATTTGAACATGAGTGTTTCTATATAGTTTAGGTGTTATTGCAGCCAAACAACTTTTTAATTGCCTAGTGGAATAACTAGTAAGTAGGCTAAGCTTTGAGAAGGAGGGCTGTCTTAACCTAGTTAATAATATAAAATTTCAAATCACAAGTTTTTGTTTTCTTCCCATACATTTATTGAAAGTTGAAATAGAAAAAAATGATACCTCGTTATGACTTCTAGTGGGAAAAACTGTTTCATGATAATATTTAGGCAGGAATATTCTGTTACTGGTGCCTCAGACAGTGATCCTGCAATGTAGTACTACCAGTGATCTGAATGGATATCATAATCTCAAGGAAACCAAATCTAGTATATATTGGTTTTTACCTAATCACAAAATTAGATGTTCAAACATATCCCTGAACAGAATGGCTTTTAGTAAGACTTTTTACTTTAAAAAAGAAAACAAGGGGCGCCTGGGTGGCGCAGTCGGTTAAGCGTCTGACTTCAGCCAGGTCACGATCTCGCGGTCCGTGAGTTCGAGCCCCGCGTCGGGCTCTGGGCTGATGGCTCAGAGCCTGGAGCCTGTTTCCGATTCTGTGTCTCCCTCTCGCTCTGCCCCTCCCCCGTTCATGCTCTGTCTCTCTCTGTCCCAAAAATAAATAAACGTTGGAAAAAAAAAAAAAAAATTTAAAAAAGAAAACAAAACAAAAACAAAAAACACAACTACAAAAGAAACTCCATTGGGGCACAGTGGTGATTTTAAAAGCAAATTGAGTTGAAAATTATTCTTACTACATAACCATCTTTCTCGCTTTAGAAGAAAACCATTGAGACAAACACAGTCCTAATATTAAGTATTATCAAACCCATTTTCCCCTGATACAGAAATTTTGTTTATTATTATTTACCAATTTGTATGTTTTTGTTATTTTAGAAGTATCATCAGATTTACTAATGTGACACTGAACATTCCTATACATCAAGGATAAGATAATCCTATTTCCTAATAAGAAGGGAATTAGAAAATCTAAATGTAATGATGTAAAGCTATCCTCATTTTTTGTGTGTGTGCATTTCAATTTAATAGGAGATGAAAACAGGTTACTTTTTTGGTTGACCTTTTACTGGTTTTCCCCAAAGATTTTTTATATGCCCCTGAAAGTTTTATTTTACTATGAAGAAACTGGTCTTTCACAAATAGTAATGAAAGCTTAAAACTTGAACTGTTAAGTTAAATCACCCATACTGCCATAAGCAGTCTGGAACTATCTTAATGCTTACTGACAAATACTAATTTTATATTTGATATTGCTTGTTTTTCAGGGGATGTATGTATTTTTGCATGCAGTAAAAGGAACACCTTTTGAAACTCCTGACCAGGGTAAAGCACGGCTCCTAACTCATTGGGAACAGCTGGACTATGGAGTACAGTTTACATCTTCACGGAAGTTTTTCACAATTTCTCCAATAATTCTGTAAGTGATGGAAGTTTTTAGGTATGAAGAAGATTGGATAAGAGGAAGCTGTCCTTTTATTAGGTTGAATTTCAGTTAGAAACAGAATATTTGTTGAAACCTCTACCAATAAATAGCTAACTCAGAGCATAAAATACAGACAAAATTTAACAAGCTGGTGATAAACTGTTTTTACGTCAGTCAGTAATACATGGAGACAACAACAATAATGTGCTCATCAGTGTGTTTAGACCTAGGATACACAGATCAAATATGTTGTAGTTCATATCCTTAAGTTACTTACAAGAAAGCTAAATGCATAATCTTATTTTATATTCCACTATTAGATTAATCACCCTAACCAAGGATTTGGGTGATTTCAGATGAATTTCATTGACCACCCACCTCCCCCAGTTTGGATGTTCAAGCTCCTTGGGAGAGATTGCTGTATAGTTTATAGATAAAAGAAGTTAGGCTTTCATCGTAGGAACAGACCTGGGTTGAATCCTGTTTATCGCACCACCTACTTGGTTTGCTTATGGATAAAATTCTAGCCAATACTACATAATTCAATTGGATGCCTTAAGAAATAAATGAGATAATATCTGTCTGTAAAGCATTTAACCTTAAATTTCCTCCTATTGCCTGACATTCAGGGCCCTCCACAAAATGGTTCCTACCTTATTTTTCCTTTATGTGAATATTTTACCCCCACCCAACTCCCACCTGGTCAAGCTCTTCTAAGCAGCATTTTTTTTTAATGCTTCGTTTATAGTCCTATTTCTATGCCTTTGTTCAAATCATTTCTCCTACCTGAAATACCTTCTCCGTTCTTAATTTATCTTACTCTTCTTTCAGTATTTAAATTCTGCCTTCTCATGCGGTCTTCTCCTTAGCACCCAACCTTAAGAAATAATGCCTGTTTTGAACTCCTTTAGTAGTTATTACACATCCCTTATTTATGCCACTTTGCATTATTTCTGTTATTATAAATGTTTTATTTCTGCAAAGAATTTATAAATGTGTAGATTGCTTTGAATTCCACACTCAGTATTGTTGCATGCATATAATGGATGTTTTACATCTACTTTAAGCAAACACTGTATACCATATAGCTCATATATAATAACATATCCATGATTTAGAATCAGTGCAGTCTGGAGTAAGTGGAAAGACTCCTTGGAGACTAAATTAGGATTCCTTAAACTGAGACTTAGGGAAGGTAGATTTCAGGAAAAGGAAGGCATTTTTAAATGAAAAGAATAAATTGATCATAAAGTGGTAGATATTTTTTTTTTTTTATGTTGTTAGGACTTTGAGGAAATTTTTTAAATTTTTGTTTGAGCCCTATATAAAATTAATGTCAAAAGAGAAATGATTTGTATGATTTAACAAAGATAAACACAGTAACAGGAATAATAGTTATTCAAACAGCCCTAAATTTGGACTGCTTTCTAACTTTGTGACTTTTGGCCATTTCTTTGAAGCCTCATTTCCTCATCTGTAAAATGTTGAGGATTGCATTATAATTAATGTAAAAAGCCTGACATGTATACTGAATTTTCAATAACAGCTATCACAAAATTGTCAACTAAGATGTACCTGTGTACAACATCCATATTTCTAAAAATATATTTTTGACCCACAGGCATGATTTCAAATATTCTGTGATTAAATTCCTTATATAACTGAAGAAACAACACTAAAGCCATCTATATAGCATTGGTACTTTTCAGAGTGCTTTCACATTTTCTTATTTGATCATTTGTCAGGTAGGTAGGATATGCAGTGTTATCCCAAATTTTTAGATAAAGGAACAGACTCAGATGCATTACCTTGTTCCAGATCTTGCAACTGGTTGGAGTCAAGAGCCCAGATGAAATCCTAAACTTCTAGTGCCTAATACACGTCTCTTTCCAGTATATACTTCGGCATATAAATGCTATTACATGACTCCCATCTCGGTTTAGCATCCCCTCAGAGGGTTGTCTAGGTTTTTGTAAGAACCTGTAATTTTCATGTAATTTACACATAAAATTAGTTTCTATTAAACGACAAAGGGGACAGTATGATGCATACAATATATGCTACAGTATGATGAGGAGGAGCCATTCCAAAAATTATTTATTTCCAACACATCAAGTTATGGGTTAACCCATATTGATTATAGGAAATCAAATGAGCTTACTAAATGCAAGTGGTAGGAAGTATAAACACAGTCTTCAAATATATGAAAGCTGGAAGAAAGGGTTTAAACTAAAGATTGAAGAATATGGTTTATTCTTGAAGAATTTTCTGATTATAGTTTGTGAAATAGGTGGAAGATTATAGAATTTCTCAATATAGATGGCTCTGAAAATGATGTATACAGCTCTGTGTGATGTTTTTAGTCATACTTCAAAATAGCTATTCTTTTCTAACCATATTACACAAGATAATTTATCTCCTCTTATTAGAAATTAATGACCATATTTAGAGGAAAGGCCATTAGAATACTTTACTGTGTACTCTAAAAGTACCAATTAGACAAACACCCATACATAGACTAACTTCTTAGTCGTGATCAAGTAGAGTATGATGTTTTATTCTTTTTAATTTATTATTATTATTATTATTATTATTTTAATGTTTATTTTTGAGAGAGAAAGAGCATGAAAGGGGAGGGGCAGAGAGAGATGGAAACACAGAATCTGAAGCAGGCTCCAGGCTCTGAGCTGTCAGCACAGAGCCTGATGTGGGGCTCGAACTCACGGACCGCGGGATCATGATCTGAGCTGAAGTTGGACGCTTAACCGACTGAGCCACCCAGATGCCCCAATGTTTTATTCTTAAATCCTGTCTATATTAGGATATTCTCAGTGTCCAAATGATGTGTCTGCACTCTGATGTGCACTTGGGTAAAACTAGACATTCTGACTTGATGCTTTATGGTCCTAAAGGTAGCTTAGGCTTGTTAAAACAAATTCTTAGATATTGGATGTCTTTGAATGTGTACATATGGTCAGTTACAGCAAAACAGCTGGAATGTTACAACAGTGTTTTCCAGATTTCCAGTTAAACTGGTTATCAACCTGTTTGGCTACAATAAACATCAAAAAAAGGCAACCAGGTTCTTGTTTTCTTTCAAAGATACTGAATTGTATTAATGTACTAACACCCCATTTTCACAACTTTATAGCAGTAGTTTTTAACCTTTTGGTGGGTCACAAACCCTTTGAGACTATGATAGATGCTTTGGGTCTGGATCTTCTCTTCAGAAACATACACATAAATACAAAACTGTACCTGAAATTTCAGAGTATACGAACCCTAGTTTGAAAGACTTCTTTAAAGGATGCTAAGTAGCAAACACATTCTTTTAAATGCATTTCACATGATTGCAGAAATGCAAAATGTGCATATATGCCTCCATTAAATAAAATTTTAAATCCCGAATGAATTTAGACCCCCATCTGGTGCCTCCTGTTTTAGTACTCAAAAGTGATCCTGTTTTTAGGTATTTATGTTTCAGTGGCTTTTTTTACCTTTAAATTTTTTAATAAATTCTAATTAATTTCATTTTTAGATGTTATATATATTTTAACTTTTATTTCTACAGATATTTTCTGGCAAGTTTCTATACGAAGTATGATCCAACTCACTTCATCCTAAACACAGCTTCTCTCCTGAGTGTACTAATTCCCAAAATGCCACAGCTACATGGTGTTCGGATCTTTGGAATTAATAAGTATTGAAATGTTTTGAAATGGAACAGAAAATTTTTACAGCTACTGAATTTTCTGTAAGGAAGGAGTGGTTAGTAAACTGCACTGTTTCCGTGATATTGTGAAATGAGAAGTATTTACATTGAAGGGCCAGTTGCTGGTTCTTCACATGCTGTTTTGAAGTGCAGGTATTTACTAGAAGATGCCTCTGTTTAATGCATCTGGTATCTTTCTGAAGAGAGGTGTTATAGGCAGGCTGGGCAGGCCCAGCTTATAAGTTAAATGGCTGTACACTGAAGGATTAGTAGATGAACTCAAAGAAATGAGAGATTTATAAGAAAACAAGACCAGCTTAGCTTATAATGAATGGGCATTATGTTAGGAGAAGAAAATTTCCAATCATTCAGTCATGGTCAGTTTAAGCAGACTTAACCTGTAAACCAGAATCATCTCTTTACAAGTTTATTATAGATTGTTTTTATTACCATACATGTTCCTCTTGTGTTGTAGAGGAGGATATTTCTCTCTTGTTTTATACAATCCAATCCTTACCTTATGATTGTACTTTTTTTGCTTTTGCTGGCTCAACATTGTGTTGATAGATTGAGGTCATTTTTACATTTATTAATTAATGAGTTACATTTATTAGTTAATGAGTTCATGAAGGTCCACCTTCATGACTGGTGACAGAAGACAGCATCTTACAAACAGCCTCTGAATCAACCTTCTAATTTTGGAACGGAATGGGTTTTGTTGTCTTTCCAGACACAAGGCTGCTAAACCAATTAAGAAAATAATTTATTTCACACAGTTAGAGTATATGGTAATTTAGAGGTCTCTGCTTATTTGGTTGATCAATCTAATTGTTAAAGTCTGCTGTTATTTAGAAAAGGAAACATAAAGTGGACAACTATATAGCCAACCTGTGGTCTGGCAGAAACTGCTTCTCTAGCAGTAGTACCATAGTAAATAATGGAGTCGTCTTTAGCAGGTCTACAGCAAAAGAAAACATCTTTCCTTAGTCCCCCTGCTCTCACTCCCCATATTTTGCTCATTAATGTTTGGCCTTTCAGTTCATGGGTCTTGGTGTAGATAACCCAAAGTGGTAACTCTTTCCAAAACAGCAACCATATTGAATTCTTGTGACTTAGAGAAGCTTCCTATAATTGATATTAATTAGTTGCAAAAAATAACTGCATACTACTTTGAGAAGTAAACATGTCAAAACCAAAGTTCTGATATGGGATGAGACTGAAATATCCAGTAACATTTGTAAACAAAACTGAGTGACAAGAGTTATAGACCAACTGAAAAATCAATTTGTTTCAATAAACTGACTTATGGGGGTAATGATCATTGTTTTGTATTTCAAAAGTATTGAGTTTAGAACTCCATTGTATGATATGCCTTTGTATGTTTGTCTTTTACCCATGTATTTTTTAGTTAGTAATCTATACTTGAATAAAACTTTTCTTTGGTGTAAGATTATTGTAAATCTCCAAATTCAGTCAGCAATGTCACATTTTTCAAGTTGTGTTTAAGCAACTGAATTTCATTAAGGTAGTTAAAAATGTTGCTTTGTTTTTCTTCATTTTAATTTTTTTTCATGTTTATTTATTTTTGAGAAAAAGAGACAGAGTGCGAGCAGGAGAGAGATAGAGAGGGAGACACAAAAGCTGAAGCAGGCTCCAGACTCTGAGCTGTCAGCACAGAGCCCAACACGGGGCTCAAACTCGTGAACCGTGAGATCATGACCTGAGCCAAAGTTGGGTGTTTAACCAACTGAGCCACCTAGGTGCTCCTCTTTTTCTTCATTTTAAAGTTTACCTCACAAGGCTTACTTTTTGCACAGACTTCAGAGATAGAAATCTTCTGTTAATGCAGGCCTTCTGCTTCCCCCACTCTTCATCCTATAATGTTTTAAAAATATTTATTCAGAGGGCCCACTCTGTTGTGGGTATTGTTTTAGGTATTGTGGATACAGTTTGCAAGCAAGACATTATTTTTGACTCATTTATTATATGTTCTCCAATTTGAATATAAGCTTATTAAAATCTTTTCCCTTAATAAGCTTATATTCAAATTGGAGAACATAATAAATGAGTCAAAAATACATATCATTTCATGTAGTGATAAATGCCATGGGAAAAAAATTAAGCAGGTGAAAGGCAGGGGAGTCTACCTCAGAAAGGTCTTCCCTAATGCTCATAAGGTGATATTTAGACCTAAAGGAGCAAGCAGTACAAACATCTGGGGAAAGAGGCTTCCCAGTGTAGGTAATGATAATATTAAAAGCTCTGGGGCAGGAATAAGGGTGTGTTTTTGAGGAAAAACCAAGACAGCCACTGGGACTAGCAAGGAGTAATAAACAAGGGGGATGAGAATGCTAACAAATGAGGTCAGAGAAGTAGGTGTGGGTCAGATCATATAGAGCTGTATTGACCAAGGTTATAAGCAAATTTTTTCTAAGCTTGACAAGGCCATTGGATGGTTTTATATTAGAGATTAAAGGGATCTGATTTTATTTTAAAGGTTACTGGCTAATGTTGAGAATAGAGTGTAAAGGAATAGGAAGCAGGAGGAATAGTTGGCAAACTACATACAACAGGTAGCTCAGACTAGGGGAATGGCTGATGAAGTGGTGAGTAGTGGTCAAATTTGGGATATGCTTTTTTGGTCTTAACACTAGGTGAATGGTTGTGTTAAATATGCAGACTTCCCAATTTCACAAGTTTAAACAGTTTAATATAAAAAACAAACTTTAAAAAAAAATTCCATAATGACTTGTTATTTGGAACAAAACTAACTGCTAATGCTGTAATTGCTCCTAATTTCAAGTCAGGAAACAGTGGCAGTTTCTAAATATGCATGAGCTCAGAAGTACCACTAATTTCAGCGTTCATTGATGAATGTTTCCTGCAACATCTATTACTGTGGAGTTCCATGGTGATTTTCTATTTGCCTCATTTCCCCTACATTTATTTATTGGATTCTGTAAGGAAGATTTTTCTCTTCTCCATTTATTTATTCAACCACTTATATAATTTTGGACCTACAGATATCTTATTCTTTGGTTTACAATCCATTATCATCATTATTAATTTGTTGTTTAAATTGTCCTCCATATTTGGCCTTTGGAAGTCAGAGTTTGCAATGGTAATTTCCAGGTTGGCTTCTGTGTCTTTTTGACCTGCCCCACCTTCCCTCCCCTCTTTTTTTCTTAAGCATAGGACTGTATTTCTTAGGTTTATGGCACTATGGTCTATTAAACTATAAGGATCCTAAAGGGCATAATATCTCCTTAACTAATGTTTGCATGAATTACCCTTGTGGAGTTACATGATGCTAAGAGTTGGAAAAGACCTAGGAGGCTATGTAATTTCAACCCCTTACCATACCTTGAGTTTTCATTAACTGCCACACCACCATTCATTTCTGCATTAATGCTAATAAAAGAGGATTTAAACTTACAAGGCTGCATTTTTGTAATGGAAATTATAACGTTTTAAATTGAGCCAAAATCTATCCTTATTCTACATAAGGCTTCAATTGTTTAACTTTTAAACTGTTATCAGCAGCACTGAATAAACATTACCAGAGCCTTCACCATTTTCCAACTGATAACTGTTTCAAATTTCTCCTGCTATCCTGGTAATGCTGTTCTGAGTTGCAGTTCAATATTATATGGCACTAGAGCTAACTACAGGAGGTGATAAGATGTGGTGTCACTACAACAGTACCGCTTTCCATATTCTGGATTCCCTTCCTCCCCCCTGCCCTTTTTTAAAAATTTTTTTTTTTAACATTTATTTATTTTTGAGACAGAGCGAGAGCATGAACAGGGGAGGGTCAGGGAAAGAGGGAGACACAGAATCTGAAACAGGCTCCAGGCTCTGAGCTGTCAACACAGAGCCCGACGCGGGGCTCAAACCCACGGACCGCGAGATCATGACCTGAGCCCAAGTCGGACGCTTAACCGACTGAGCCACCCAGGCGCTCCCCTCCCGCCCTTTTTAATATAACTTCATACTTTAGCTATTTTGACAGCCACATACCACTGATTCACCTTACAGTCACAAAAACCTCAACTCTCCAACATGTAGTATCATTAAATGATGGCTTTCCCTTCACATACTTAATGGATTTATTAAGCCAAGTCTAAGATTTCTTTTTCCTGTGGAACCCCATCTTGTTAGGTTTTAACCTGTTAATTTATCTTGTCTAGCTCAAGTTGAATCTTGACCGCCATGCAATATATTTCTCCTATATCTTCTTTATTAATATATTACCAGTAAATATGACGCCAGAATACTCGTGCTAATCCTGAAGAAGACAAATACAGCAACCCAGTATAGACCAGGGCAGTTTTGTAATCCTTCTAATAGGACAGATATAAAAGTAATTTTTTTTTCAACGTTGATTTATTTTTGGGACAGAGAGAGACAGAGCATGAACGGGGGAGGGGCAGAGAGAGAGGGAGACACAGAATCGGAAACAGGTTTCAGGCTCTGAGCCATCAGCCCAGAGCCCGACGCGGGGCTCGAACTCATGGACCGCGAGATCATGACCTGGCTGAAGTCGGACGCTTAACCGACTGCGCCACCCAGGCGCCCCTAAAAGTAATTTTAAAATTACTTTCATGGATATTACATGTTGATGTAGAAAAGGTAAACAGGTGCAGTACTGGGAAGACAGGTCTAAGTAAAACAATCTAGAAGGGAGTTTGGAGTAGCACTGGGCAGGGAAAGAAGGTAGGTAAGAGAATAGCAAAGATAAACCTTCATTTTGCCTAATGTCAAAAAGAAGATCTATGAAAGGCCTCAGGTTTTTATTTTAGTCCACAATTTCAGTTCCAGTTAAAAATGATTCAGCAGGTAGTTTCATATTTGGGGTTTAAAATTTTTCATTTCACTTCAAATGAACACAGGAGAATTATAAACTCAAGTTTAGAATACTGAATATCTTAGGTAAATAGCATACAGAAGGCTTCAACTGCTTTGGGTGATGTTTTTTCTCTTGAATGAGGGTTGGGTTCACAGAAGTTGATTATAGTATTCTTGACACTTTCATAATCTGAAATATTTCATAACTAAAACAGTTTAGTAGAAATATATTCAGATTCTATGTTAAGCATAGTAGTTTAGTTCCATTTCTTAACTCGTTTTAGCCGTTAATAATCAACTAATCATTATGGAAGTGGCTCAGCCTGTAGCACTGAAGTTCTATATAATTCTAAGTTTAGCAGATAGGCCAAGTTTATCACTATGTTCACTCTAACTGTATAATTATATTGATAAAAATAAGTTCTCAATTATAAGAACTATAGTAAACTGCATTAACACTGTACAATGAACTCTTCTTATGACAGGAATTTTATAGTATTTAAATCTCTGATTTTCCAAATAATGTATTAAAAAATTTCTATTGACAACACTTTTTGGAAAACATTCAGATTCTGAAAAAAAAAAAAAAAAAAACAAAAAGAAAAACTGAGCATATTATCAAGAAGATAAGCATGCATTATTCATGTTACAATTTCTTAAATGGGAACAGAAAAGCCAGATGATTTAACTGGCATTTCTGAGAAAATACCAGTATACCACATACTACATAAAAACCTTATACAGTGATTCTGCTTTGAAACATAGGTCCCTCCTATGAATTATCAAATCCTATGTTTCTGTTACAGCACTTAACATATGGGAGTAACAAAAAAATTTACCCTTTCCCTCCCCTGCCGAAAATATACATACCCCACACACTTGAAAACTGAGACCATTTGGATCTGGCAATTTCTCAAAACATTGAACAGATTTACCATATGATCCAGTAGTTCCAATTCTGGATATGTACCCAAGAGAAGTGAAAGCAGGGATTTGAAAAGATATTTATACAATCCATGTCTGTAGAAGCATTATTCACTATAGTTAGCAGGTGAAAAGAACCGAAGTGACCATTGACAGATGAATGGATAAACAAAATGTGGTATATACAAACAATAGAATATTAGTCTACTTTATTTTTTTTTTTTAATTTTTTTTTTCAACGTTTATTTATTTTTGGGACAGAGAGAGACAGAGCATGAACGGGGGAGGGGCAGAGAGAGAGGGAGACACAGAATCGGAAACAGGCTCCAGGCTCTGAGCCATCAGCCCAGAGCCTGACGCGGGGCTCGAACTCCCGGACCGCGAGATCGTGACCTGGCTGAAGTCGGACGCCTAACCGACTGCGCCACCCAGGCGCCCCTAGAATATTAGTCTACTTTAAAAGAAATCGTGACACATGCTACCACATTGGCTGAACCTTGACATTAATGCTAATAAGTGAAATAAGCCAGTCACAAAAGGACAAATATTGTATGATCCCACTTATATGAGGTACTTGGTAGTCAGAAAGAACGGTGGTTTCCAGGGGCTGGCAAGAAGGGGAAATGGAGAATTAGTGTTTAATGGGTACAGTTTCAGTTGGGGAAGATGAAAAAGTTTTGTAGATGGATGGTAAAGACGGTTGCACAACGTGACTATACTTAATGCCATTGAACTGTACACCTAAAAATGGTTAAAATGATAAATTTTGTCGCATGTATTTCACCACAATAAAATAAATCAGCTGAGTAAATTTGTAAAATAAGCATAGTGGCTAAGCAACTAAGGTAAAAAGCAAAATATCTTCCAAGGATGAGACCTGATTGACAGTATTACCATTAATGAAAGAATGTTCCACATCAAAGATTTTTCAACAAAAAAAGCTCTTTAAAAAGGAAGAAAGCAAATGATAGTGTATTTTTAGCACAATCCAACCCATGAAGCATGTAAGACAGGTGATTCAAATGGAAACATGCATCGGGCCTGAAACATTAACCATTAGAAGCACCAAACTCATTTCTATTGCATTCATTCCATATTTACCAAACAATCTGATTGTAATTTGATTCTGCTTTCATTGTAATTTGCTCAATACAGAGAAGGTAAGGACCAGCAAGCTTAGGTAACCTAGCTCCATCATTACATTTCTCATACATTAACACATTAGTGTTATGGTTTTTACAATTTCTTAGCAGATGGAGCATGGGACTCAGCACCCCAGAGTCCAGTCACTTCCAGATCTGATAAACCAATTTCAAACCTAGAAGACAATGAGATGTTGAAACCCAGTAATCACACCCAGGTCCTGCTAGGCTGTGGATACATCTGTGGCAAGCTACACCACCTTCTCCCAGCAACTTCCCACTCTCAATGCGTACAATAATGCTGTATTGTAATTACATCATTAGACTCAGTTCCTTGAAGATAGGGAGTGAATCTTATCTTTTATCCCCAACAACTAATAAAGTTCCCAGCTGAAAGGGAAGAACCCAATAAATACATGGTAAATGAAAATAAAATCCTATTTAGTAATACATAATTAGGAAATGAATATTGTAAAGGTTCTTCTGTATGTAATTTTCCTCAAAAGCTTACAAATGAAAACTTGGGCAATAGCATTGACAAAATAGCATGTTTCGATTCAGTTGGAACTCTGGATTCAAGTGGAAGTTACAGTAGTTAGGTCATATTTTGTTGAGAATGTCTACCAGTGGCATTCAAACTATGAAATGATCTGTATGGAAGCTCAGATCTCAGAGAGCATAAATGCCTTTCCACCAATAATTTTTCCTCTAGTACAATAAAGAAGATGGAAAATGTGTACCTTCACTTGCCAAATATATGGTATTAGTATAAGTGCCTTTTCTTTCTGCTACTCACATGAAATCAATCAAAGGAAGAATAAAATTCCTTCCTACTGTGTCCTAGAGCTCTGCTGTTTCACATAATGCAGCATTAAGACTCAACACTAGCCAAAAGTTCCTGGATGAGAATCTACCAGTGATTCCAACACATACAAAAGGGTTAACTCCTGACACATTCTTGCACAGGAGGGCATTGAGACACACTTGCTGAACATAATTCAAATTGCAAAAAAATGCCAGATGTGAAAGTTTTTATGTTCAGACTAGATTTCAGCATATAAAATAACCTCTAACAAATCATTTGCAATTAGGATAACTAATTTTTCTTCACCTTTTGGTCTTAATTTTTCTTTTTTCCTTTTTGTGGGTCAGCCACATATACTAGAGAAAATATGGGTTATTTTTTTCTTCTAGAAATTAAGGAAACAAGTTTCCAGAACCATATGGCCTAACTTCTTAGCTTTGCATTTACTAGCTGTGTGACCTGCAAATCATCAAATTCTCATCTATAAAATAAGGACAGTAGCTACCTCACCGGATTGTAGTGAGGATTAAATAATCTGCAACACTGCCTGGTACAACAAAAGTGCCACTTTATTGTTAATTAGCTGCTATTACCATAAGTGAAATTTTTGAAAGCATCAGTTCCACCTAAAAAAAAAAAAACCCTCAATAACATTCTGGTAATTATGAATATATATATTTGTGTCTTATTGCTAGACTCTGTGACTTCCCAACCATGATTCACTTCTTTTATACCAAGAGCTTCTTGCCATTCAAGATGCAGATATACGTGACAGCCTATCGAACCTTGCATATATGAAGTCCTTGCTTAGTAAAACTTAAGGTCTAGCAGGGAAGAAGAGAGGCTTTGGGGATAAATCTATTCATACAAATGACAACAAGTTCACATACCAATAATAGTAATTTAAAAAAAACTGAAAAAGGTCCAAGAATATGAGTACATATTACTCTGAAGTCTGCATACATAGTAAGCAAAAACCATCCAATGCATTGCGAAAATAGGATAATTTTTTAATGTTAAGTGAATATGTACCATCTCCTCCTCCTCTTTTTAATCACAAAAACAGACTAGCCCCACACCTTTTACTCCAAAAAGCGGGAGTAACGGTTTAGACTATCCGATCAGAAGCGCTTCCGTTCCCTCGGAACCTTGTACAATCAAGTCCTTGGTGTCGTCCCTACTTTCCACTCTGCTTCTGAAAGTACTAGCTGTTTCAGGCCACAACTTTTAGATTTGATGATAGTTCCTCTAAAATGGAATGACGAATAATCTCCATCCTTTTCTCACAGTGGCGTCCAAATTCCAGCCAAAGACAAACAAAATTGTCTTTTAGTGTAGCGTAGTGTTTAGAACTTAATGTTGTGTAGTCAGACAAATCTGCGTTCGGCCTCCGCTAGATCGGTCATTAGCCGTGTGATGTTGTAAAAGTCTTGTTACTACAAATCTAAGGGAAGCGCGTGAGTACACGCACTGAATCTTGGACAAAGACAGCATTTATACTTTTTTTTTTTTTTTTTAACTGAATTAAGTGTAACGCCCTCTAGGTTTATAGCAGCTAGTCCTGGAGACGAGACGCGGGACTGTGTTGATGACATCACTTCCGGGGCGACAAGGTCGGTCTCTGCCTCCTGCAATAACGCAGCTACTGACTTTGCTAGGGAAAGGACGCCTCTACTAGCTACTGTCATTCACGAGGAAGGTGGGTGAAATTGCTCACCCCTCTCTTACTGGTTCTTTCGTGTGCCTGGAAGAACGATTCCAGTAGAAGCCCTTCGCCTTCCTACAACAGAGATTGGTACTGGCCAAGTTCCCTGGGTTCACTTGGGAGTCTTCTTGGCCCAAAGACAAATGCTCAGCACAGGCAGCCTTGCGTGGGTTTTGTGACTGCAAAGTTCTCCAGGTGTGTCTTTCTGTGCTACATTCCCCCCCTCTGCAAGGTTTTTCATCACTCTCATCCCTGGATGCCGTTTGCCCCAGTGGAACAATAAAAATTCCAATATTCTCTCATTTACCCATTTTGTCCATTAGTGTGTAGGGAAAGGACCTCCTTAAGCATCCAGAAAGTTCTAGGACAGATGATTTAGAGTCATGAAACTAGATACTTGGAAGTGTGAAGATACCAGGGTGCTTTAGTGATGGACTGCTTTTATGTGAGGAGGGAAAAGGGATTTGGGGGAGATCCTTATTATGATAAACTTGTGGTAAAATGGAGATTGAGTTAGAGAAATTGAAATTAATGGATAAAATTAGGTTGCAGTTGTTTTAGATAAGAAGTGGTTCTTTTAAGATGAGCTTCATAAGAACACTTGTTTCCAAAGTAGATGACTAAAATGTGTGTCTTTAATGTGAATTCTTGTTTTCAAACTAAATTATCAATTTTTATTTTGAAAGATATTTTCAGGAAATAGAATGCATTTATTTTTATTTGTTCTGTCTTGCCTTTATTATTTTTTAAAACCAATTCTATCTTAGTTAATAGCTATCAAACAATAAATAGCACTTTTCAGATAACTATCCATGCGACTATTAGCTGTTTTATAAAGAATAATGAACAGTTTGCTAAGAACAGCGTGATAGTAATACTAAAAAATTTCATATCTGACTTCCCTGTTTTCCCCCTTAAAGAACATTATATTCATTCCTACTGTCATTGATATTAATGGGTTGCTACAGCCTTTAAAAATTTTTGCTAACTTTCCCAAAACTTTCCTATAATTTTACAAAATTATTATATTGAAAAATAAATCAAGTTTTTTAGAATTTTGCTTACCTAAATGGGTTAGTGGTCAATGTCCATTCCCAATAATTGTTTCTTCATTTCTTTTCCAGGAATTATCTATAGAGTAAGTATGCTAATATTGAATAAGGCAGCAGGAGTTTTTTCTAAACCATCAAGAAGGGAAATTTATGAATTTTTAAGAAGTTTTAATTTTCGTCCTGGAAAAGTATTTCTTCATAAACTAGTATTGGGGATTGAAACCAGTTGTGATGATACGGCAGCTGCTGTGGTGGATGAAACTGGAAATGTTTTGGGAGAAGCAATACATTCCCAAACTGAAGTTCATTTAAAGTAAGTAGACATTATCTTTGTAGTTCCCAATTTTTTGGGGGGGTGGGGGGGAAGTAAAATAAAATAATTCTTTTCTAAAAGCTCAGTATATATAAAAGCTCAGTTTTAAGAGCTCATTTCTTTTGTGTGAAAACTTCTAATAACTGCTGTAGAAAACCTGAAGCCCTTCAACCTGGTTTCTAAGGCTCTCCACAATAAAGTCCAACTTTAGCTAATCCTGTTGCCAAAAAAACCTAAACTCATTCCCAACTCCGATATTTATCCATAATTTCTCCTCAGTAATTTCTCTTTTTTTGCTCACCTGTATGTTTCTTGGTCTCGACTGAAGTCCTTGGAGAGTATGACCCTACCTCTAACCTGTGTTGATCACTGGAAAAAAAAAATTCCTATTCACATGTATACATAAAACTCATGTTGACACTTAAATAAATAATATACTGCTGTATTAAACCACAGAATGGTGCAAGGTTTATAAACTCATCTGTTTGCAGAGGACCACTAGTCGGGTTATATAGATAAGTGGGCTGGATATAAAGTGGAAGATATCTGGAGGGGGTCACTACTCAGCTCCAGCCAATTGTTGCCATGCAGAAATGTAGGCCCTGTGTTATTTGATCATCAGAATTTTCTAGAGAAAATGGAAATCCAGAATGTAACTGTAATATCTCCAGATTTTTAAAATTAGTAGCTAGCTTGAACTATATTAAAATACTGAACAGATAAAATATGCCTTCAGGCCACCAATTTATAACATCTGCATAGTGAAAAAGGTTGGTATTTTGAGATCACAGACCTGTATTTGAATTATGAATTAGGCGCTTGGTATTGGCTCTGATTTTAGGCAAGTTCCTTACCCTCTCTGATTATGTTTTCATATCTGTAAAATGGGAAAGATAATGCTTCTCTTATAGGATTGTGGGGAGCATAATAGAAATAATACATGTGAAGAGACAGAATAGGCCTCTAAGAGTTACACACTATGTAAAAGGGACTGCAGCAGGCAATAATAAGGCGTGGTGAAGTACTAGAAAGTCCTTACCTTCAAGGAGCCTCACCTAATCTCATCATATATAGACCTGAAAGGAAACATACAACATACAGTACAAGACAGCATAAAGTATGAAACCAGTGCAAACAGTAAGTGTTACTACCATGCCCCAGTTCCATGGTTCTTTCAGTATTTCCAAGAGTTCTGGACATTTGAACGTGGAAATGTTAACTGCACAGAAAGGCCTCTCCTAACCACTTTATCTAAATTAAGTACTCCTACCATGTTTATTGCATGTTATCTCACCCTGCTTATCTTCTTCATCATCCTTTTGATAATTTTTACATTTGTTTACTTATGTATACTCTTTCCCCCAATAGACTCTAAGTTCTATGGTGACAGGGGCTGTGTCTGTATTAATCACTATACCATGTCTTGATACCCAGAGTAGCATCTGATATGTTGCATCTGATATTAGTGGCCTTGAAAAATAGGCCTTCAATGAATGGAGATGAAAAAAATATTATTGTACGAGTAAGCATCATAGTGAAGGCAAAGAGGTGAGAAAATACCGGACATTCAGTTTAGTTAGTGCATAGGTTACTTGAGAGGAATACACAGGCAAGCAAACTATGGTACCATCTGCACAGCTCATCTCTGCATTTATTGAAATCCTACAGTTTCCTGGCAACATTTGGCTCCAGCTTTGAGGCCAGATGGTTTTCCTGCCTCTTTGTTAGCTTTTTGGTCACTCAATTACCTACTCTCCATACTGTGTACAAATTAATTCTTTTGAGAATAAAGCCATGGTCTTATTGTCTCTGGTCCTTAGCTAGCATAATCCTTTGAAGGTAAAATATATAGAAGATGCCCAGAAAGGAAGGGAGGTAAGCAAGTGGGAGAAGGAAGAAAGAAGTGGGAGGGAGAGGATTTGCACTTAAAGTCACCTAAATTTCAATAAAGTAAACACTTTTGAGTAGGAGAGTTATGGGGTCAGCATTGTGCTTTATTTTCTGGTAATACAATATAGAATAGACTCCAAGGATCAGAAAATCTGTCTGGGGGAACTGCAGTTAGTAGACTTTGAATAGACTGAGATAATGAGAGTTTTTGAACTTGGGAATGGTGATATATTTAATGTGGACAGTGAGATAAAGGAGATAAAGATGAAACCTGAAACCCAAGTGATTAGGAGGTTTGATGCCATTAACAGAGTTGAAGAATATAAGAGAAAAAGTAGCTCTGAAGAACCGAGGCAAATATGGGGCGCCTGAGTGGCTCAGTCAGTTAAGTGTCTGACTCTTGATTTTGGCTCAGGTTATGATCTCAGAGTTCATGAGTTTGAGCCCCATGTCCGGCTCTGCACTGACAGCATGGAGTTTGCTTGGGATTCTCTCTCTCCCTCTCTCCCTGCCTCTATCTCTCTCTAACAAAATAAATAAACTTAAAAACAAACAAACTAAAAACAACCAGCAAAAAAAAAAAAAAAAAAAAAAATTAAAGAAAATAGTATTACTATGTGGATGTGTTGAAATAAGATGGTTTCTTTTGTTTCCCTCATTACCTGACACAATACATATTATAACTGTTTAAGTAAATTAAAAAAAATTTTTTTTAACGTTTACTCATTTTTGGGAGACAGAGAGAGACAGAGCATGAGGGGGAGGAGCAGAGAGAGGGGAAGACACAGAATCTGAAGCAGGCTCCAGGCTCTGAGCTGTCAGCACAGAGCCAGACGCAGGGCTTGAACTCATAGACCACGAAATCATGACCTGAGCTGAAGTCAGATGCTTAACTGACTGAGCCACCCAGGCATCTCAGTTAAATAAATATTAATTGGATGTTCTTACTGATGATTTTCTTTCTTTTTTTTTTTAGTTTATTTATTTTAAGAGAAAGTGTGCACATGCAAGAGAGAGTGGGGGAGGGGCAGAGAGAGAATCCCAAGCAAGCTCCACACTGTCAGCACAGAGCCCGATGCAGCGCTTGAACCCATGAACCATGAGATCATGACCTGAGCCAAAACCAAGAGTCAGACACTTACCTGACTGAGCCACCCAGGCACCCTAGGATTTTCACTTTTATGTCTAGAACTAGCAGCATCAAATATTCAAAGATTTTTTTGAGGTTAGAGGTATATTTTGTAGACCCTATATTTTATTGCTCTGCCTTTATGATTGTAAGTCAGTCTCATTCTGGCAAACTTTTTCTAGCAACTACTTATTTACTCTTGACATTTGGAGTGGCTATCCACTGTTTGTCCTACATAGACCAAAAATCAAAACGATCAGCTCTAAGCACTAGATTCCCACACTGTATTTCAAGGTTGCAAGCTGTCTACTGTCCTGCCATGACCTTAATCAAGTGCAACATGTTTAAAAATAAACTCACCTTCTTTACAAAACTGTCTTCATGTTTCTCTCTGTTAGTATTTCTTTTCTCCCAGTCATTCCAGCTGAATATCTGAATCATCTTGGATGCCTTGGTCCCCTTTCCCCTTATATCCAGTCTAACTTAACAGTTTTCAGGGCTCTCTTCCCCATTCTTTCACTTCCCATGATCACATAGTATAAGATGTAATCATCTTACACAAATACTTTTATAATAACCTTAAAAAAAAAAAAATCTCCCTGTCTTCAGAGAGATAATTTTTCTAAAATCCAATTTTATCCTGGCCTTTTCTTGTTCAAGACATCTTCATTAGAATGCTTCTTAAGATTATTTTGGTGATTCCGTATATTAACAAATCCATAGGAATTTGTTGTGTACAATTTTTTTAAATTTTTTTTTAACGTTTATTTATTTTTGAGACAGAGAGAGACAGAGCATGAATGGGGGAGGGTCAGAGAGAGAGAATCACAGAATCTGAAACAGGCTCCAGGCTTTGAGCTGTCAGCACAGAGCCTGACGCGGGGCTCGAATTCACGGACCGCGAGATCATGACCTGAGCCGAAGTCGGCTACTTAACCGACTGAGCCACCCAGGCGCCCCTGTTGTGTACAATTTTGAAGTCAGAGACATTACACCCTTAATCCCTGCATATTGAATTCTTATATTGTGTTGCATTATAAGGCACACATATTTGAATGTATGACTAACATTTTTAGCTATATAATGATTAATTTGAAAACATGCCTTCAGCCCTAATACAAAACTTTTCTTAGTCTATTTTCACAATCTTAAAATTACAAAAAGCTGTTTGTTTGTTTTTTCCCCAGAACAGGTGGAATTGTTCCTCCAGTAGCTCAACAGCTTCACAGAGAAAATATTCAACGAATAGTGCAAGAAGCTCTCTCTACCAGTAAAGTCTCTCCAAGTGAACTCTCAGCAATTGCAACTACCGTCAAACCAGGACTTGCTTTAAGCTTGGGCGTAGGCTTATCATTTAGCTTACAACTGGTAGACCAATTAAAGAAACCCTTTATTCCCATTCATCATATGGAGGCTCATGCACTTACTATTAGGTTATTAAATAAAGTAGAATTTCCCTTTTTAGTTCTTTTGATTTCTGGAGGTCATTGTCTGTTGGCATTAGTTAGAGGAGTTTCAGATTTTCTGCTTCTGGGAAAATCTTTGGACATAGCACCAGGTGACATGCTTGACAAGGTAATCATTAAAGAATTAATTTCTCTTTTCTGTTATGGTGTCTGTTTCAATCAAATATTAAGAGATGCACTACACTACCATTTATCTAAATATTTCTGATAAACATATTAGACTGAAAAAAATTTATATGCAATAAGAAAAAAAGAAAAAGAGTAGTACATAGTTTTATAAAAGATTCTTACCCATTATTAATAAAATGATAAGAGGTTTAAATTAGTACATAAAGGCTCAAATAGTTTGCAGATGCAGTTATGTTTTTAATCAAAAAAGACGTGAAAGAAATTGCCAAGTACTATAAAAATGTGAAATAAGATATATAAAGATAACATAAAGACATTAAAGATGCACAAAGTTTTGTGATTAAACATCACAGTTGTTGACACCACTACCAAGCAGGTTTCTTTTTTCTTTGTTTCTGAATTGTACAGAGCCTACTGCTATATGCAAAAATCCTGCTGCCAACAGCAGAAATGATTAGAAGAAATGGGCAGGTTCTAATATTTGAAGTTTATCATTAAGCAGTCATTGTGAACTTCAAACTTATTTTTTATCCCCAATAGAAGAGCAGGAGTAGATAGGGAAGCAGTGATTGGCCACTATTGATAAGGTTGTCAGGAGTCAGTCTGTGTTTACTGGCTTGCTAGCTATAGTTCATATTTGTACAAGTATAGCATGTCTTATTCATCCAGTTTTGTTTTGTTTTGTTTTAGTAAATTTCATTTCCTTTGTACCTTGGTTTCAAAATGTGCCATTTTATGACTCATTACAAAATTTTTGTTTGTTTTTGAAAGGTAGCAAGAAGACTTTCTTTGATAAAACATCCCGAGTGCTCTACCATGAGTGGTGGGAAAGCTATAGAACATTTGGCCAAACAAGGAAATAAACTGCATTTTGATTTCAAACCTCCCATGCAACGAGCTAAAAATTGTGATTTTTCTTTTACTGGACTTCAACATGTTATTGATAAGATAATAACACAAAAGGAAAAAGAGGAAGGTATATTTCTAATTTGTAGAGTTGGAAAAATAAGTAATCCTGGAATGTGCCTAAAAACACCTATTCGTTTCTGCAGGGATCCAGAAGGGGCAAATCCTGTCTTCGGCTGCACACATTGCTGCGGCAGTACAGCACACAACAGCGTGCCACATTGCAAAAAGAACACATCGTGCCATTCTGTTTTGCAAGCAGAGAGATTTGTTATCTCAAAGTAATGCAGTGCTGGTAAGTTTTGTTATGGCCTCTAACAATAATAGTAACACTTTATAGTATGTTATTTTTCTTCTAGGAACTTAATTGATCCTGTGCATAGAATATGATATCTTTATGTCCTATGCTAGCCCTGACAGAATGAAATTATGCAGAATAAATACTAACAGCCATTTCTCGTACAGCTTCTATGTCAGCTTTATGGGACATCTTTACAGACTGTGTGGCAAAAAACTCCAAGGCTGCCTCTTATTGAATTTAAAAGTGGGTTTGCAATAAGAAATGAAATACAGTAACTGTTACTGTTATTTTAGAAAAATAAGCTAGTTTCCTTGAAATTTATGTTCCTTTGATGAAATCCATTTAAATCTGCATGTAAGCCTTGGTAAACTTCCTGTTTAACTGTATCTTAAACTTCATCCTTTTGAAACTTATGAGAAAATATTTAAATGATGATAGATTCACAAAATAGAATATTATGTGAATATCAAAGGTAATAGCTTTTTAAGAATAATATAAAATGAAAAAAATGCTTATAAGTAAAAACAACAGGGTCTAACATATTGTTGTACTATGATTATAATTAGAAAAATGTTAGAAGAATATATATAAAAATAATAGTGATGCTGGTATTGAAATTATTGATTTTCTTTTCTTCCAAATTTTTATCATATAGCTATATCACTTGCCTGTTCCCCACCTATCAAAATGTAATATTTTCTTATTGTATAATGCTTGTATTTTCCCCAGGTTTAGCTAACAGTTTGGCTCATATCCTTATGTAGTATTTGTTGATTTGGGTCTTCTCAATTCCTTCAGGTTGTATCTGGAGGTGTTGCAAGTAACCTATATATCCGAAAAGCTCTGGAAATTGTAACAAATGCAACACAATGCACTTTGTTATGTCCTCCTCCCAGACTGTGCACTGACAATGGCATTATGATTGCATGGTAAGCCACAGGATATATGTGCTTCACTCATAATTATGTAAATATTAATTTCTATTTCATCATGTTAAGTCTTCTTCCTTTAAACCCTGGTCTATTTATTTTATTTTGATGATTCTTATTTAGGAATGGTATTGAAAGATTGCGTGCTGGCTTGGGCATTTTACACAACACAGAAGGCATCCGCTATGAACCAAAGTATGTAGTACCGTTTATAATCTCTATGCAAGTTGCAGTATAAAATTCAAAGCCTTTTATATATGAGGTTTTCATCAATATTCTGGTGGTACCTGAATAAAGATTATATTATTTCATGAAATTTCTTCTTAATAAATATTTTTGCTACAGTATCAAATCATAAACATTTTGACAAATCATAGGTTAAAAATAGGTGGGTGGGTAGGGATGATGAATACCCTCATTTACTAGCAGAATGGAAACCATGTCCATGGCCTGGACTTTTGCAATATCAAAGCAATCTCAGGACCAGCTGGTATGCTGGGAAACTTCAGAAAAATGTGTAAAAAGCAGTCAGGTCTGAGACTGGGTTGTGAGTATGCTCCTCCACAGGCAGCTGAAAATGGCCAAGAGATAGCTACTTTCTGAAAGCCTTATTTCCTCTACCAAATCAGAGTTCCAAAGAATAGCGCAGTGTTTCAATTTGTTATCAAGTTCTGGTCTAAGTTATTTCTGGAATAGTAAAAATAGTAAAGAATGATTATGTTTCATAATCTATAATTCTATTTTCCACATGATTTCATTTAATGTTTTAAAACTTTTCAGTATTTTAGTCCATAACTATTGCTACATGAACCACAGAGTATTAAGACTATAAACGAACAGAGTTTAATTAGTTGTGTCAGAAGGAATCTCCTATGATGATGGCCTACCCTCAGGTAGAATATAATGTCTGATCCAGTGTTGCCTTCTTGTGGCAGTGTTGAGGCTGGAGGTGATGACTTTTTTCACATTAGGGTCCAGTTGAAGCCTTACATTGGGCAACGTTGCTAAAAAGCAGAAATCTGAGGCCAAAATTATTTACTGGGAAAGCACAGAGAAAGAGGGTTGGATCTAAGACCTCTCCTGCCGGTAGCGACAGAGGAACGTGGAAAAAGAAACAACCCAGCTTTTGAAACCTCAAAGAAGAATCAGTAAAAACCTGGAGAATTTCTAAAGTAGGAATGGATGTAGATTTGACTTTAGCTGTATGGTGAACTGTTTTTACCCTTTCAGCTTTGTAGAGAATTATAAGGTATTTTTGTTGTTGTTGTTGTTTTTAAGTTTTTATTTATTTACAGTATGAGAGCAGAACTGTTTCTTTCAAAAACTTCTCAATCCTCAAACTCATTGAATTGTATACATTAAAGATGTATAGCTTTTCACATGTCAACTATACCTCAAAGTGGTTTAAAAAATTATGAAATTTAGCGTTCTTGTTAAAGGAAATGGCCTTTTCTTCACCCATTATTTCTGCTATATTTATATTCAAGAACCATCATCACATATGATTAACTGTACATTAGATATGTATACTGTTTGTCAGAATTCAAAGCAAATAGTGACAGATCAGGATGCAAATATTTGAAATAATATGATTTATCTGATTGTGATGCAGATGTCCTCTTGGAGTAGATATATCAAAAGAAGTTGGAGAAGCTGCCATAAAAGTACCACGATTAAAAATGAAGATTTGATTTTTGCTTTTCAAACAATCTCTTAAGGTAGGATTTCAACATTAAGTTGTGATTTTTTTTGTATATCAAATTGTGGAAGATACATAATATTAATTGTTCATCAAGACTTTCTTTTGTTATTCCTTTTCTTATATTTGATGTTTAACCTGGTCTTCTGAGAGACAAATAGTATGTTATAGTCTTATAAGGTAGTATAGGTTTTTTATTATCAAAAGTAAAATAAAACATCTTGTGGGGAAAAGAATGTACTGCTATTGGTAGGTAGAAAGAAAACCTTGGACGATATACAATGATTCTGTTAAATCCTGGCCCCATATTATACAGGCCTAAATCTTTCTATCTTCTCATATCAGGATACTAAAAGCTATTTTTTTACATTATATTCTATTTATTTTATTTTATTAAATGTATTTATTTATTTAAGAGCACACGTGTGAGTTGGGGAGGGGCAGAGGGAGAGGGAGAGAGAGAATCTTAAGCAGGCTCCATATCCAGCACAGACCTCAACGTGGGTCTCGATCCCACAACCCTAGGATCATGACCTGAGCCGAAATCAAGAGTTGAACGCTTAACCAGCTGAGCCACCCAGGTGCCCCTAAATGTATTTATTTTTAATTGAACTGTAATTGACATACAACATTATGTTAATTTGAGGTGTACAACATAGTGATTCAACATCGATATGTATTATGACACCATGATAAGTATAGTTTTACCATCTGTACCATACAAAGTTATTACAGTATTATTGACTATATTCTCTAGGCTGTACTTTTCATCCCCTGACAAATTTATCTTATAATTGGAAGTCTGTACCTCTTAATCACCTTCACTTACTTCACCCATTTCCTGCGTACCCTGCCCCTACCCTCACCCCTGGCAAAAAGGTGGTTACCAGTAGAAGCTATATTTTTGACTCCTGCTGAAACATTAGCCTAACTTTACTAATGAGAGAGAAATTTTAGAAATGTAGCCAGGTCAAAGTCATGTCAAATCAGAGAATTCTAAATGAAGACAAAAGGTGACTCTAACAGAATGCATGTTATTAATTATGAAAATATATGTTATTAGGTATATTCCCTGGAGCAATTGGGATATCTATACATTTCTTAAAATCCACTGAGATTTTAAGTAATCCTTCTAGTGTGTACTGTACTTTTTAGTTGACCACATATATTTATATCCATTATTTTAGAAATTGTATTTAATCAATGAAAGTAAATGAAATGTAAAGGTTTTTGGTTTTGTTTTTAGATAATTTCCTCTGATTTTGAATCTTTATACCAGTTTATCACTTTTTTTCTGCCTAGATTAAAGTAACTAAATGTACTGTGCTTTGAATATAAAGATGATGCTGCTGACTTTAATGTCCTTTGAGAGATTTTACCAGTAAAGAGTTATGTCACATCATCCATACTGGACCAGGTTGTTAGCTTTCTACTCAATGACTTGCTTTGTTCAGAAACTAGGGGGTAAGGATAAAAATCGAAAATGAAAAGATTTCTTACTTTAATCCTGCCTTAAGGTGACCTCTTTCTTGGGAAATTCCATAAGTAATTCCTTTTTTTTTTTTTTTTTTTAAGAATTGTAATCATAGAATACTGCTTTTGGATCATCCATTCGAGAATAAAAAAATATACTTTATATGAGGGAACATATAGAAACAGCCAATATTTATACAACTTTGCATTCTTTGCTGTTGAAGTATAGCTATGATAGAATTGGTTTGTAAATATTATTTGGAAGAAACTATTAGTTTGTGAATTCACAGTTTTCATTTAAATTTGTATTCTGTATCATATGAACCTGAATTCACAAAGAAGCAGTATCAGTATTTCCTGTGGCTCACACAATCAGAGTGCATATAAACTATGGAAAGAAATTGACCAAAATTTCTTCCCGCTGTCACAAATATTATAAAATGGGGATATCTATAATCTAAGTTCTTAAAATTTTTAAGTATCAAAACTGCTACAGGTGCTTCAATACAAGCATACTTGTTAACATTGAGTTCATGATATAAATAAGAGAAACTACAGATAAATAAAAAGCAATTTTTAGAAACATTCCATATCTGTAGGCCTCTCAATAAGTACTTGGCCAGAGGGAAGGAAGGAAGGGAAAGAAGGGAAAAGGTGAAAAGGAAAAGGAAGGGAAAAACGTTGAACTCTATATGGGCAAGCATATTTACCAAAGTTAGCTAATAGTACAGGTAAAAGGCAATTCGCTGAAATACTCTGTTTACTCAGTTATGTTATATGTATTTTACCACAATTAGATTAAAATTAAAGGTAAAAAAATTGGGGGGCATCTGGATGGCTCAGTCAGAGCATGTGACTCTTGGTCTCAGGGTGGTGAGTTTGAGCCCCGTGTTGGATATAGAGATTACTTAAAATCTTAAAAAAAAAAAAAATTAAAAAGATTGCTCAGGAATTCTTCTATACGTTCATTCTAATGCTTTTATTAGCCTTCGGTAGGCTCTGGATTAGCTTTCTGCACATGTTTCCCTAGTTGGCTCAAGAACACTATTCTTGGTCTTGATACTTCTGTGATATCTGATGAAGTTGCAGATGAAAAGGAAAAAACATTGTGAGAAACAGTGGTCTTCTTTGTTGTGTTGAAGAGTCCCATGAAATTTGTTACAGGAGGTATCAAAGTCAAAGAATCTCTTGGTTGAATTTTAGGTTTTAATTTTCTTCGGTGCTCTTTCCCTAAAAATGAGAGAGGCACAATTAAATGTCTCTTTCTTAAGCCCAAGAGCCCTAGATACATTCTCATTGCTCTTGGTTCTGTATAGTTCTATTCTGTCCAAATCACTAAAACATAATAAGAGAATGGATCAGTAGCTTCCAGACTTGTAGATGTCAGAGTGCAAAAATTTGTGGGGGCCAAAATATGGTTCCAGCTTGTTATTATGCCGAGTTGAGACTAATAAAAGAACAAATAGCAACACAATTTTATAAAACAAGAGATATTTTATACCCAAAAGAAACTATAAAAGGCGCTATCTCAAAATGACACATTTTATATTGAATGAAATTAACTTTATCAGAAACTTGCTATATTGTCCTTATTTTTTCTTATGTTATCATAAACCCGTGAAAACATTATCAGACCATTATTGGTACACAGATTGCTATTTAGAAACCAATATTAAAGTGAAGAAAAAAATGGGATTGACTTTATTCCTTTATGTAAATTACTCTTACACTAAAGAAGCTATACAAAAAATATTCTTCTACCCATGATATTCAGAAATATAGCCTCCCCCACACATCTAGCTTTCCTCAGAAACTCCCTGAATAAGTGAAGTTCTCTCTTGTCCTTGTATTCTCTTTTTTTCTCTCGCTTTCCATTTGTGACACCTACAAACTGATTGTGACTTTTGAATGGTTCTATCCTTGCTTTTGATTATAGGATAATATACCAAGGCTGATATTGGTCCTACACTAAACACACATGAACAAGCACTAAGTATATAAATGAAATAAAAAAGTAAATTTCTTTTCCCTCTTTCATATCTAATAGTAACCTTATAAGATCTGGGCTCTGATTTTACAGGCCTAAGTCACTCAGCCATCATCTGCCAAATATATATAAAACTGTAGAGTATCAGTGGAAAAAATGTGATCTCTGCCCTAAGAACCCACAGACAAGTTGTACATGAAACAAAACAATAGAAATATTGTAATTTAAGCCATACTTACATGTTGTTTCAATAATGACCTATTTCTATGCATGGCTTATGAGAAAAAGCAAACAGAGAAGGATTTATGTCAAGTGATATAGTAGGAAAGGCCTTGAAAGAAATGATTAACATGGTCTTATAAATGGGAAGGTATTTTAAGTATACAGAATGACAAAAGCAGAGTTTACAGGTAAACTTTTTAGGGGGTAAACCTCTACAGTTTGAATTTTTAGAAATGGAACACAGAATTGTAAAGTGTCAGGTCTAGGAGGTACCTCAGAGATGAAAGAAAAATCAATTACCTTTCTTAAAGACAGGAGTTATGGATGGTCCTCCATTTTTCTCTAGACTAAAAGGAAAACATGTATCACAAAAACTAGGAATATATAAAGACTTTAGTACACCCAGGCAATAAATTCCATACCCAGTGGCCTAACTTATATGTTACCTGTACTAACTATGCATGTTACCTGTAGGTATTTTATATTCAGTCACTCATTTACCCACTTATCATTCAAACATTTGGAACGTTAAATCTGCTTGAAGTGATCAGTGAAAACTTCATGGTAAAAGAGACACTTCAGCTAGGTTTTGAAGAAAATATGTCTTCAAATGAATGAGACAGAGGGAATAGGATATGAAAAATTATAGTACTATAAAACAGCATGGCATGTTCAGAGAATACTAAGTAGTCTAGCATGGTTGGAATTAAAGGTATCTAGAGATATATGATGGAAGATAGGTTGGAGAAAGGTCATTTTAGGTATTAAGAATACAACAAAATTTAAACTTTTTTTCAAAACAATGGTTTACCAATGAAGTGTTTCAAGCCAAACAAGGTGTACCTAGTTAATATAGGGGTGTGTGTGTGTGTGTGTGTGTGTGTGTGTGTGTGTAGGGATTTAAAAGCAATTATTTTAAATCATCATCCTGTGTGTGTAACATAGTTACAGAATTTCCCTGGTAATAATATTTAAGTCTTGCCTAAGCTAATATATTAAAGGTGGTTATCACAAATGTATAACTGGCTAATTTGATGAGGAACATTTGCTGCCGTCCACTTTAATGAGGCATAGGCTTCAATCTGTTCATATGCCAACTTGATGGCTACAGGGTAACATTTAGGCTAGCATGTAGGCTCAGAGTGTTTCCATACAGGTTCAGTTAACACCAGTAAAATTATGTCTCTCTCTCCATATTTCAAAATTTCCATATACAAAGACTTTTCTAATCTGCTACTCTTGGGGCTGGATGGGGGCATGGGAATAGAGAAGTGATATGTGCACCAAAAAAATGCTATCATGATCCCAACCACAATCATTGTACTTTCCAGTAGTGGTATCAAGGAATATTTTGTGGAAGGGTATTGTTGTCTATCCCAAAGTTTCCAAACTGATTTTAATAATCTTTTAGCACATTTCCTATAGTTTCATTTTCACTGAGTTGTTATGAAAATTAAAGGGAATAGTCCATATAAATACTCTAAGGAGAGTTCTTAACACTGTTCGTTATGGGAGTAATTATTATTTGCTTACTAGTTTCACCTCACCTGGTAATCATTCTTACAAGTTTACTGACCACTGGTCACTACTTACAATCCTAAAAGTTGGGTGCTCGCTTCGGTAGCACATGTAGAATCCTAAAAGTTGGGTGTTCACAGCTCCAGGGGCTGCCATTCATCCTCGGTCACTGTAGATTGGTATAGTTTTTACACCTATTTTCCAGTAGATGACAGTAAAGTACCCAAGGAAGGGACATCTTTTTGTAATTCTCAAAAAGTTGCTATGTAGGCTAGTTGGGGGAATGACTGTGTAAAATAATACTTTTCATTATTTATCCTAAATTGATTTTTGAGCCAGTAAATATTATTTTTAACAATGTCAATTATAGGGGTGCCTGGGTGGCTCAGTCGGTTAAGCATCCGACTTCGGCTCAGGTCATGATCTCACAGTCCCTGAGTTCGAGCCCTGCGTCGGGCTCTGTGCTGACAGCTCAGAGCCTGGAGCCTGCTTTGGATGCTGTGTCTCCCTTTCTCTAAACCTCCCCCGTTCATGTTCTCTGTCTCAAAAATAAATAAACATTAATTTTTAAAAAAAAAAAAGTCAATTATAGCAATTTAATTTAGATTTCCCTGGCTTATTATATAAAATTAGGTACTCAGTTTTGGGTTTTCAGTTTTTCAAAGACTTAAAATGAAGATGTACTAAAAATTGGTTTATAGAACCATGATGTATTGGATCTTATTCTTTTCTATTATTATAGAGTTAATACTGTACCTTGAATAGTTCTGTTTCCTACACATAAATAGTGCTAGTTGCAGAGACTTGTAATGCAGTTATATCTACTAAAGAAAAGAAAATGTGCCCATTCTAAGGAGATTCTCCTCTCCCTTTTGCAGAAGCTTAAGCTAAAATGAAACTATAACACTGAAGCAAAATCCTCCGAGTAAATAAATGCCTTTCAGACTTTGCCATAACTCCAGTCACCGAGTCTGATTTAGCTGTTTCTATCCTGGGAGTCTGGCCTAACTTTGAATCAGGTTCCAAAGTCCCATCTGATGCCAAGGTCATGGTGGCATTCCTGGTCAGCTCAAATCTCTCAAGTATATCCCCAAAATGGCTTCTTGGATCAGACTTGGAGGCAACCAGAATCCCAAAAAGCTTTCTGAAATGTGAATAATCTTGGCCAAACAGGATCCCCAAGATCTGGTTGTGTTCATGCCGGCACAAGAGGTTCTGTTGCAAAATCAGAATTAAAACAGGCTTTGGCAGTGGACATTTAGAATGAAGTGTATCTCTTGGTATACAAGGCACAAAAATAGTTCCCCTTGTTTGAGCTTCCTTAAACTTTCTTACAAGTTCCTTTATCAATAATTTCAACTTCACAAATACAGACACAATACCTTAATGCAGGAAGTCCCACTCGCTGTTGCATCTGAAATTCCTTTAGAAATGCTGGGTTAATACTTGCATCTCTGCTGATATTATTTGTTAATCGAAGGAACTGATTAGGCTTATTTCTGCATTCCTTTAATAGGATGCGGAAAGCACTTGCGTTGTAAGTTAAGTAGCCAAGAGCACAGGAGCAAGCTGTGCGAACCTAAGTGAAGAAACAGTTCCTCCATTGAGCTAAAACATCTAACACATGTTCTCATTAAACATTTCCTAAGACAGTCTTTGTAGCTATGTTTAACAAACGTGTGTCAACCAATGGCAATCTATACATGGACGCATAACAACGATGTTTTCAGAGAGAGAGATGTCAACTGCCACTAATTACCAGTAGTTGTTCTCAGTCCGGACTGCATTTTAGAATCTCCAGCAGTTAGAAACAACAACAACAAAAACCCACCAACTGAATCAGACTCGCTTGGGGGTAGAATCTGGGCTTTTGTATTGTTTTTTAAAAGTGCCACAGGTGATTCTAATATGCAGCCAGAGTAAGAACCATTGAGTTTGAAGTAGGACAGTGGGTCTCAGTCTTGATTGTGCATTGGAATCCCCTTGATAGTTATGAAAATTACTCGTGCCTAGTTACCACCCCTAGAAGATCTGATTTAATTATTTTGGAGTGCAGTCTGGACACTGGAATTTTTCAAAACAGCTCAGTTGATTATAATAGGAAACCAGATAAGAGACGATAAGATAAAAACAAGTTTAAAATAAGACACTCAGGAAAGCAATTCAATTTTCCACTGGCAAAAACAGAAAAAGTAGATCTTTCCTTTCTTAAAGGGAATACCCTTAGTCTGTGACCCTGAAGTAATTAAGTTACTCATATGATTAATTAAAGTATATTCCTGGGCAGTTCTTAGAAAATCTGTTAGTGGTGGCCTAAGAACTGTCATAGAATGAACAAAAACCACACACATCCCAGGTAACAGAGGGTTCATATACTGGTCTCTACATTGGCATCTGACTGCTTTATATGCCCATATAACTTCCATACCTTGAACAGTGGTTCTCAGTGTATGGTCCCTATCCATCAGTTTCAGCTTCTAGGAACTTGTTAGAAATGCACATTGTAGGGCCTATACCAGATATATTCAATCAGAAACCTTGGGAATGGAGCCCAGCAATCTATGGTGTAACAAGTCTTCCAAGTAATTCCTATATTCCCTGAAGTTGGAGAAACACTACCTTAGACCTGGAGGGGGGAAGTGCAGGGGAATACTTAGAGGCAAACCACTACTACAGCCAGCCCAGCCTTCTTCACACTGTCATCTCTAATCCTGTTTGGCAGATAAGGAAAACTCCAATGGATTCCATTTTCATGCATTCCAAATCATAGAAATGACTTAGTGACATCACTGGTTAGTAACTAACCAGTTTTTGTGAGAGATTTTATAAATATTTTAATTACCAATTTCTATATCATCAGTGTACTTATTTGTAGATTGAATCTTAAGTTATTGAAGTTAAATGTGCACATGTTGTAGGAACAGAATTGTGGATGGCAGATACTGTACTAGAAAACTCCTCTAATTTTGTATTAGTAACATGAACTATTATATAACATACTTAACCTGTGGAGAAATTAGCCCACAAAAGTGAGAGGCAACTTACATTTTTAGAATATTCAATTATAGAAAGACTTTTGTTTTTACCTCTTCTTTTTCTGAATACAAATGATAGCAGAGCCGTTGGATTGTCCCTAATGTGGCAAATGCTTCTGGAATACCAGCTCTAGAATGAGCCAGGCTAGCTATTAAATTTCCTACAAATAAGAAAAAAAATGCTTGTGTTATTTAAATGATATAAACTGATATACTGTACTTTTGTTCATTTGCACATATTGTTAAAAAGGGTTGAGTCACAAGACATCTCTGTTAATGAAGAAGATCTGAGAAAAAGCATGTATATATTAAATGTGGAAGTTTTTCCCCCAAATTGTGATTTGGTTTTCTGTCACAAACAGTAAAAATTAATTAGCTTTATCTAAGAGTGGGGAATTTTGAAAATCAGAGGTTTTTATCCCCATGGCTTCAGAATATATTTTGTTTTGAGCTTTAACATTTTTACATTTTTTTAGGCTTGTTTATTTATTTATTTTAAGAGACAGAGAGAGCACATATGAGCAGGGGAGGGGCAGAGAGGGAGGGAGAGAGAGAATCCCAAGTAGCTTTGTGCTCAGAGCTCTCTGCTGTCAGCGCAGAGCCTGATGTGGGGCTCAATCTCATGAACCATGGGATCATGACATGAGCTGAAAGCTTAACCAACTGAGCCACCCAGGCACCCCTGAGGTTTAGCACTTTTTTAATGACTATGAACATAATGATTGAACTACCATAAAAAGTTAGTATGTCCTCTGGGGCGCCTGGGTGGCTCCAAAGGCACAGAAGTTTAACGTTAAAAAACAAAAAAAAAAAAATTTTAAAGTTAGTATGTCCTCTTTGTAGCCCAGATTGCTTTGAGTTAAGAGCTTAATGGTATTTTAAAAGCAAGCAATGTATTACTAACTTAAACTTAAAATCATTGAAGTTTTTGCCATAAAAACAAATGTTTGGGGGTTGAAAATAAGGTAATTCAGTAATAAAATAAATGTGCAGCTACCAGGCTACAACTGTTTCATTCAAATATGTGTTTTATTTTTAAAGCATTCATGTGATATTGTTTCACAATATTGTTGCTGTGTTGGAAAAAGTGCAACACAAATTTTAAAATATAAAGGCATCCACCCATATAAATGTGGATGGATACTTTATTGAGGTATTCATTGGGTTTTTGTTCTTGTATTTTTTTTTTTTCTGGCCTTCTTTATAAACCAAGGCCTGGGTGGCTCAGTCGGTTAAGCGTCCGACTTTGGCTCAGGTCATGATCTCACAGTCCGTGAGTTCGAGCCCCGCGTCAGGCTCTGTGCTGACAGCTCAGAGCCTGGAGCCTGTTTCAGATTCTGTGCCTCCCACTCTCTCTCTGCCCCTCTCCTGTTCATGCTCTGTCTCTCTCTGTCTCAAAAATAAATAAACGTTTAAAAAAAAAAAGTGATATATCAAGTCAATTAGCTTATTATTAATTTTGAAAGTTAGCTCTGGAGGAGATACAGTTACACAACTAGCGTTAAGTGTGCCAAGAACTCTGTTGGACTATTTTGCTTTGCTATATTGCATAGCAACAAAGGGAACTCTTTAAATGTTAGCAAAATGTGAACAATTGATCAAAAGAAAACCAGACAGAAGTATAGCAGTATAAATCTGCCATTACTTTCATAAATCAGTGTGTAAACTTTGTTGGTGGTAGCTCATAGTTTAATTCTCATTTTCTTTCTGGAAAAAATAATTAGAGGTTTGAAAAAGTAAGAAATCAAAAAGGCTATGTTCAGAGTTACCCTGCTGCTTTTTGGGGTGCAGAGTAGACTCCCATTGTTCCATGTAGGCTTACTGTGGAGTTCATGTAGATTTGTACCAGCTCATTCTTCAAACCATGTGGCATAGTATCAGGCTTATTATTTTATTATTGCTCAGATTACAAAAAATTATTTTTGAAAATAGTTTTATGTAGTTATTTTATGTAACTACCTTCCAGTTATTTCTTACCTGTCAAGACAATAGTGGTAGAATGAACTGAATACAGACTGTCAACTAAAATAGTGACACCTCTTGCAGACAAAGTAATATGGTCCATGTCTATAATGACTTTAGCTAATATAATAATCTGAAAACAAAAAGAAGCATAGAATCATTGAATGTTTTCTATTTGGCTTCTCTAATTAAGCTTTAATGTTTTTTGGCTACTTCTCAGGAAGGTTAGAGGGGTAATTTGGTATTATTCAGTAGAAGAAAAGCAAGTGGCAGGGGTGTGAGTTAGAGTGCTTGTCGCTATCTGATTACTGCAGTGAACATGGTAGGCCATTGCATTCTTCCTACAATATTTGCAGGTTTTCCATTCTTGAAGTATGGGTTCATAGCAAATATTTCTCCTAAATATTATAGGCTAGAAAAAGAAGAGAGAGAATAAGAAGAACCCATATACATCTAGTTGTCATGGGTTGAAGAACCAGTGTGATCAGGTAAAGATCTGCAGTTAGAAAACATGTCTTGGATACTACCATGTTTTTCTGCCTGTAATATGTGGATGATAAAAATAATACTATCTGCCCATCAACCTGACAGGGTTCTTATAAGCATCAGGTAAGGTACAAAGGCAAAAAGTGCTGGTAAAATGAAGATATCCTCATAAATAACAGGGATTTTATGAGGTGGAAAGGGCTGGTGTGAAAAATACTGCAAATTTTACAAATCAGTAAACACTTTTCCAGATTAAAATTTTTTCTAATTTTCAAGTTTTTGACTAAAAAGACACTTATGGATTTGAAGTTTTAACTTCAGTTTTGTACCTGAAATGCTGCCATTGCCTTCTCAGTTTCAATTGTTGATTCAAGAAAAGGTTCAAAAATTGATATGGTCATTATTCCACTTTCCAATATTAAGTATTGTTGAAGGCGATTATTGAAGGCAAAAAGGGTTAATGCATAGCCTGCTCTTAAACAAACATCCTAGAAATAGGAGAAACATGCGTTATCTTTTTTTCTTTTTTTTAACTCAAAAAGGCAGGTTTTAGGTTTATTTATTTTTATTTATTTTTAAGAGAGAGAGAGAGAGCCAGCAGAAAGAGAGGGAGAGAGAATCCCAAGTAAGCTCTCTGCTGTTAGTGCAAAGCTTGATGCAGAGCTCAAATTCACGAACGGTGAGACAATGACCTGAACTGAAATCAAGAGTCAGACACTTAACTGACTGAGCCACCCAAGTGCCCCACATGCATTATCTTTAACTTAGTTCATTTATTATGTTACTCAAGGTAATAGATTTTGAATTCTCGCCCATCTAAATACATTACATTCTTATCTCTGGGAGTAAAACATGACATCATTGGGGAAAACAGGTAATAGAGTCAACCCAGGATGTCATTGAACAGATTAAATAGAGAAGTAAGTTGTGGCTTCAGGGAGAAGAGAGAAGTAATTTTCATATTCAGAGGGAATGTTAGTTAATAACTGTGCAAATAAATACCTAAACAGAAATAGGAAATTCCATAATTTCACTAACCCTCAACTTTTTTGTTTTAACATATTTTTATTTTCATTTCAACATTTCAAAGTAGAATTTGATAAGTCAAAACTTCCTTGTATAGCATACTATATATTACATGTTATGCATTGTGGGATGGTCTCTATCATCTCTCAAAATAAGTTCATTTGTAAAATTCTGTACGATATCCTAAGAGGGAAACAAAAGAAAGATGATTTACAGATCACATTTTAATTTTCTGGGACTTGGCAAACAGAGCAAAAGCCAATTCTTAGAGTCTGTTCACTTGCCAAAGATGAACAAGTATGGTAGATCTTCCAGAAAGACCCAAAAGATAGAACTTTATCACTAAATCTAATTTTTAATATTTTGCTTGAACAGTATAGTACAGAGAGAACCATTAATCTTAGCGAGTTTTCTTCTTTCGGTGTTAATCATTACATAAAAGTGCTATATGTGCATACTAAAATATTTACCAATAAAATTATATGATGCCTGAGATTTTCTTGAAAAATAATATAGGAAGAGCAAGTGGATATATAGATTAAATAAAACTGGCCATGAATTGATAAGTGCTGAAACTGGGTCATAGGAATATTTAAGTTCATTGTGCTACTCTTTTATTCTGTATGTGTTTGAAATTTTCCATAATAAAAATTATGTACACACAAAGTAGTCACCTGGTCATAAGCAAGAAGAAAAGTATTAGGAATACACAAAAGAACAGGGTCCAGTGAATGAAGCAGGTGGGAACAGGCTGAGAAGAAAAGGAGAATGATTAAGAGCAGAATGAGTAGTAGAAGAAAAAGGAGAAGGGTGTCCCTGAGGAATGAGCAATGAGAATAAAATGTGGAATGAACAGAGAGAGAAGAAAGGTGGCTTAAAGAGCCAGTCAGACACAAATTCAGTCTCCTCACCCTATATTCCCCATATTATTATAGCAGCACATCTCCATTTTTTCATATACCACAGTACAGTAGAAATCTATATATTAATAAATAATGCTTTGAGTTCATTTCTCCCCCATAGCCCTCTTTTCTTCCTCCCAAATCTAAAGCTGACAGTTGGCAGTTTTCTTCCCTAATTGCTAAATGCACTATAGACAACAAAAGTTCTCAAATTTCTCTAGGGTTAGTGGTATCCAAAGTATGGCCCATGGACCAATGACAGTTGACAAAATGGTTGACATCAGGATTACAAACACTGGGAATTCGAATTTAAAAGGAACAGCTCTTCCTTATAGTTAAATACCAACTAATAAATCTAGAAAGATGTTTATGGCAGCATTATCAACAATAGCCAAATTATGTAAAGATCCCAAATGTCCATTGCCTGATGAATGAATAAAGATGTGGTGTATATGTATATATACAATGGTATATTACTCAGCCATAAAAAGAATGAATCTTGCCATTTGCAAGGATGTGGATGGAGCTAGAAAGTAGTATGCTAAGCAAAATAAGTCAGTCAGAGAAAGGCAAATACCATATGATTTCACTCATAGGTGGAATTTAAGAAGTAAAACAAACATAGAGGGGAATAAAAGAGAGAGGAAAACCAAGAAACAGACTCTTAAATATAGAGAACAAACTGATCGTGACGAGAAGGGAAGTGGGTGGGGAGATGGGTTGAGTAGATGATGGGGATTAAGGAGGGCACTTGTAGTGAGGACCGGTGTTGTATGTAAGTGATGAATCACTACATTGTACACCTGAAACTAATAGTACACTGCATGTTAACTAACTGGAATTTAAGTATAAATTTGATTTAAAAAAAAAAGGAGAACTTTTAAAAAAAATTGTCGTTAGCCAAATACCACAGTAATCATTGCTGCATCAGTAGATGCTAAAATTGTTGAGCAAAAGTACATGCAAAACAGAATATTTTCATAGGCTCAAAATGTCTCACCTTAAGATACTTATTAAAAAAGGGAAGTACAGTGACTTTACAGTGGAGAAATATGGCAGATACTACCTTAACCAAGTGCCCAAAGTTAACATTGCCAGTTATAAGACATAACAGCACCATGTACCTCCTGAAATGATGCACTAGGCAGGTGAATGAAGAAGACCACATCATTTCTATGGTATTCTTGCCAAAATGCATAACCTCAATTTAATCATGAGAAAACATCAGATAACTCAAATTGAAGGACATTCTACAAAGTAACTGGTGTGGACTCATCAAAAATGTCAAAATCATGGGAGACATGTAAAATCATGAAAAACAAAGGACCGAGTTTCACAGATTGAAGGAAACTAAAGGGATATGACAAATAGATGTAATGTGAGATCCTAGATTGCATTCTGGGACAGAAAAAGGACACTGCTGAGAAAATTGGCAAAATTTAAATAAAGTTTGCAGATTAGTTAATAGTATGGTATCAATGTTAATTGCTGGTTGACATCCAGGAAAGCGGGATGAAGGATATGCTAGAACACTACTATTTTTGCAAAATTTTGGAAAACCTAAAATTATTGCAAAATTTAAAGTTTTTGTTGTTTTAATTATCCTACCCATTACAGATTGCTGGGGGAAGGCTTTCCTTTATCACAAAGTTTGAGAAGCACCACTAGAATAGTGGGTGACTGAGAGTTGAAAGGTCATAAAGTTTCAAATTTCATAAAATTTCAAAAAGAAAAATTTTGATGCATCCAGGACAGAAGAGATTTGTTTATTGGCTCTCTAAGCGTTAAAATTGCTACCTTTCAACTGTATCAAGAGATGCAGCAGGGCATTATATCATAATCAAGGGGTCTATCCACTAAGAAGACCTAACAATTGTAAACATTTATCCACCAAATGTGGAAGCACCCAAATATATAAATCAATTAATCACAATCACAAACTCATCAATAGTAATACCATAATAGTAGGAGACTTCAACACCCCACTCACAGCAATGGACAGATATCTAATCAAAAAATCAACAAGGAAACAATGGCTTTGAATGACACACTGGACCAGATGGACTTAACATATATTCAGAACATTTCCTCCTAAAGCAGCAGAATATACATTCTTCTCCAGTGCACATGGAACGTTCTCCAGAATAGACCATATACTGGGACACAAATCAGCCCTAAGTAAGTACAAAAAGATCAAGATCATACCATGCATATTTTCAGACCACACCCCTATGAAACTCGAAATCAACCACAAGAAAAAATTTGGAAAGGTAACAAATACTTGGAGACTGAAGAGCATCCTACTAAAGAATGAATGGGCTAACCAAGCAGTTAAAGAGGAAATTAGAAAGTATATGGAAGTCAATGAAAATGATAACACCACAACCTAAAACCTCTGGGATGCAGCAAAGGTCATAAGAGGAAAGTATATAGCAATCCAGACCCTACTAAAGAAGGAAGAAAGATCTCTGATACACAACCTAACCTTACACCTTAAGGAGCTGGGAAAAGAACAGCAAATAAAACCCCAAACCAGCAGAAGACAGGAAATAACAAAGATTAGAGCAGAAATTAATGCTATTGAAACAAATCAACAACAACAACAACAAAACCAGTAGAACAGATCAATGAAATCAGAAGCTGATTCTTTAAAAGAATTAAAATTGATAAACCACTAGCCAGTTTGATCAAAAAGAAAAAAGAAAGGACCCAAATGAATAAAATCAAGAATGAAAGAGGAGAGATCACAACCAACACAGCAGAAATAAAAACAATAATAAAAGAATATTGTAAGCAATTATATGCCAATAAAATGGGTAATCTGGAAGAAATGGACAAATTCCTAGAAACATATACACTACAAAAACTGAAACAGGAAGAAATAGAAAATTTGAACAGACCCATAACCAGTAAGGAAATCGAATTAGTAATCAAAAATCTGCCAAAAAACAAGAGTCCAGGGCCAGATGGCTTTCCAGGGGAATTCTACCAAACACTTAAGGAAGAGTTAACACCTATTCTCTTGAAGGTGTTCCAAAAAATAGAAATGGAAGGAAAACTTCCAAACTCTATGAAGCCAGCATTACCTTGATTCCAAACCCAGACAGAGACCCCACTAAAAAGGAGAACTATAGACCCATTTCCCTGATGAACATGGATGCAAAATCCTCAACAAGATATTAGCCAACCGGCTCCAAAAATACATTAAAAAAATTATTCACCACGACCAAGTGGGATTTATACCTGGGATGCAGGGCTCGTTCAATATCTGCAAAACAATTAAAGTGATTCATCACATCAATAAAAGAAAGGACAAGAACCATATGATCCTCTCAATAGATGCAGAAAAAGCATTTGACAAAATACAGCAGCCTTTCTTGATAAAAACCCTCAAGAAAGTAGGGATAGAAGGAACATACCTCGAGATCATAAACACCATATATGAATGACCCAACACTAGTATCCTTAATGGGGAAAAACTGAGAGCTTTCCCCCTACGGTCAGGAAGGGATGTCCATTCTCATCACTGTTATTCAACATAGTATTGGAAGTCTTAGCCTCTGAAACCAGACAACACAAATAAAAAGGCATCCAGGTCGGCCAGGAGGAGGTCAAATTTTCTGTCTTTGCAGATGACATGATACTCTATATGGAAAATCCAAAAGATTACACCAAAAAACTGCTAGAACTGATTCATGAATTCAGCCAAGTTGCAGGATATAAAATCAACGCACAGAAATCGGTTGCATTCCTATACACTAACAATGAAGTGACAGAAAGAGAAATCAAGGAATCAATCCCATTTACAGTTGCACAAAAAAACCCATAAAATACCTAGGAATAAATCTAACCAAAATCTATATGCCGAAAACTATAGAAAGCTTATGAAAGAAATTGAAGGAGACACAAAAAAAAATGGAAAAAGATTCCATGCTCCTGGATAGGAAGAACAAATATTGTTATAATGTCGATACTACCCAAAGCAATCTACATATTCAATGCAATGCCTATCAAAATAACACCAGCATTCTTCACAGAGCTAGAACAAATAATCCTAAAATTTGTATGGAACCACAAAAGACCCCGAATAGCCAAAGCAATCTTGAAAAAGAAAACCAAAGCAGGTGACATCACAATCCCAGACTTCAAGCTATACTACAAAGCTGTAATCATCAAGACAGTATGGTACTGGCACAAGAACAGATACTCAGATCAATGGAACAGAATAGAGAACCCAGAAATGGACCCTCAAATGAATGGCCAACTAATCTTTGACAAAGCAGGAAATAATATCCAATGGAATAAAGACAGTCTCTTCAGCAAGTGGTACTGGGAAAACTGGACAGCGACATGCAGAAGAATGAACCTGGACCTCTTTCTTACACCATACATAAAAATAAACCCGAAATGATTGAAAAACCTCAATATAAGACAGGAAGCCATTAAAATCCTAGAGGAGAAAGCAGGCAAAAACCTTTTTGATCTTGGCCATACCAACTTCTTACTCAACATGTCTCCGGAGACAAGGGAAACAAAAGCAAAAATGAACTACTATGACCTCATCAAAATAAAAAGCTTCTGCACAACAAGGAAACAATCAGCAAAACTGAAAGGCAACTGACAGAATGGGAGAGGATATTTGTAAATGACATATCAGATAAAGGGTTAGTATCCAAAATCTATAAAGAACGTATCAAACTCAACACCCAAAAAACAAATAATCTGGTGAAGAAATTTGAATGGAATGGAATTGGATGGAATTGGAGAGTATTATGCTGAGTGAAATTAGTCAGTCAGAGAAAGACAAAACTCATATGACTTCACTCATATGAGGTTTTAAGAGACAAAACAGATGAACATAAGGGAAGGGAAACAAAAATAACATAAAAACAGGGAGGGGTACAAAACATAAGAGACTCATAAATATGTAGAACAAACTGAGGGTTACAGGAGGGGTTGTGGGAGGGGAGATGGGCTAAATGGGTAAGGGGCACTAAGGAATCTACTCCTGAAATCATTGTTGCACTATATGCTAACTAATTTAGATGTAAATTTTTAAAAATAAAAAATAAAATATAAAATATAAATAAATAGAAAAAATTGCTACCTTTCAAAGATGAAATAAGTCAACTATGAAAAATATGGAACAATATTTCATTATTACAAACTAATGATCTACCAAAGAGATTTTACATTTCTTATGTAATATATTTAAATATTGGTGTGCAAAAGACATAATTTGAGGATATGGTCTAAAAACCATTCTACATGAGCTTTAACATTTTGTAAAGGCATTACCTTATCTTGTGAGTGAAGAAGATGAAGGACATTGGCATACTTAAATCCTTCATTTTCTTGTAATTCATTCTGTAACAGATCATTCCCTAGGACAATGCATGCCAAGGAAAATGCCGCTTCAACCTAAGTATGTAGAAATTAGTTTATTTTTCACTCATGGTTTATCAAATGACATATTTCATTATACAAACATTTATATGGGATATACTAACTCAACTGTGTAATTCATTGATTCCAATTCTCTAATAATAGAGAGGCATTTACAATGTCCGAAGCAATGTCCCTAGCAATTTTTAACAGCTGAGAAAATATCCTTCCTAAGTGTGCCATCACCAACACAAAGCTCCGTTTGAGAGGTGGGGGGGAGCAACCAGAGCCAGCAGGAAATGTGAGGAGGTATTATCTTAAGTGCATAGTTGTATCCTTTCCACATCTAAAAGAGAATTTTTTTTTTTAAATCCTGGCCTGGAATAAAAAACTGTTTTGAACTGCTTGTTAGCTGTTGACCATTGAATTCTAAGGCTTCAATGGAAGGCCTATCAATTAAGGAAAAAATTCCCAAGACTGGGAAGTAGTCCTGAAGAATAGTTTTGCTCTAGTTCCAGGGTCATTTAATTCATATTCTGAAGCCTTTTAGGAGGATGTAAATGAACTTTGTTTATTTTCGGGACTCAAGATAAGTTTTTTAAGATTACATTATGCACTTCTATGAAAAATGTTATGAATTTGAACAGCATGCTTATTATTTCAAAAGTATTTTGTTTACTATCGCATCTTATTTGAAGAAAAGTATTGAAATGTATTGATGTTATGTTTTTAACAAGTTGAAGAACTCATTGAAAGCATATACTGAAATATGGATGGGCACAATAAAAGTAAACTGTTTAAAACATGAAAATGCATGTTTTAAAATAAAAATGTATTTTTATGTGGCAAATTCCATGGTCTTCTGAAATTTATTTGTACTTTGAAAGTCAGTGTAGTTTTTCATATAATTCAAGCCAAAAAAATTGCAAGAATATGCTCCTTCCGTTTCCCTAATCAACTCCTATAATAGAATAATCTCTTTCATAACCAGAAAAGCTGCATAACTTCTAACATCTTTTCTGATAACACATTCCTTAAAAGAAATAATTCTGTATTTGCTTACATATTTCTGTTTTCTCATTTCCAGCAGAACTCATACCTAATTTTGAAGAGAAAATGTATTTTTTGTTGTTATAATTTCCTGCCTGGCCAACTCTAGATGTCATAAATATCCAAAGGATTTGAATATATGCGAATGTCATTTTATTAAAGGCAGTTCACTAGAAGTAAATAGAAGAGTGAATGACTCTTAAACAGCTTGTAAGATATTTGTAATGTTCACGTTGGTAGAGGTAGGACTGTTTTGATGGTTAACATTGACAGGAATCACTTAAATTTGAGAATTTTTGCTACATAAATCACATATCCTCATCATCCCCACCCAGTTTTAGCAATCAATATCTGAGGAAGTAGGGAAGAAATTCTGTGAATAACCAAATATCTGAGGAATAAAATTTTGATGAGTAAGGACACAAGACTTAATTATTCGAAAATTTATTATTTTAATAAAATTAACTTTATCTTTACTACTATATTTATAAAGCAACTCTTTTATTTTAAACTTTTAGGATAGGTTAAATTTTTCTAGTATACTTGTGAACTTGCATGAAGATAGTTTATTCTCAGAAAGTCATATTTCTGTTAATTTTTACTGTATCAGAAAAAATATTAAAACCATTTATATACCTTAATGTTAGGAGAAGGGTGATTTCTCAGTAAATGAATAAGTACTGGAAAGGCATTTTCCTCTACAACAAATTGTTGACTGATGGGATTACTTGTATGGGCAACACCTATAAGAACATACATGTCAATAAGATAATACTTCTTTCTATCTTAGAAATGGTAAGGTCAAAAATAGCTTGGTGTATTTGGTTGATAAAGTGTTCTAGCATAATATGGTTAATAAGTTACAAAAGGAAATGCTGTGTCAACACTATTTTACCTGAATTATTTTTTTTTTTAAGTAGGCACCACACCCTGCATGGAGCCCAATGTGGGACTCAGACTTATAACCCTGAGATCAAGACCTGAGCCGAGATCAAGAGTTGGATGCTTAACGGACTGAGCCACCCAGGTGCCCCCTGAATTAATTTTTTTAAAAGGCAGAATGAATAAACATGGAAAAATTACTATTAGAAGTGTGGATGTTTTTCTAATAGTCACAAAACAAAGAAATAAGAATGCTAGACTATCAAGGAATAAAAGTATAATAGCTATCACTTTTTGAAGATTTTTATTTGCAAAGTACTTTACAGGTGCTATTGTATTCCATAAAAAATTATTTTTATAAAAATGACTAGAGTAAATCACCTGGTTAAAAATTCTAGATTCCTTAAATACACATACTAAAAAGATAACCTTACTGTCTCCTTTTATAACATAATACTTTAAATTGTAGGCCTAATTTCAATTTAAAAGTCATCTCTGTCTAGTGAACATGTATAAATAATTGTAATTCTTTTATTTTGCCATCAAAAATCACAACACATACACTGAGGGTTTATATACTTAAATATAAATACAAGATCAGACCTGTCTCTGAACAATGAAGGAAGTCACCTACTTAGTATCATCTGGGGAAGTTTGAAGGAACTGCAGGTAATAGAAAGAGCAAAGAACATGTTTGTTTCCTTGTCCCTAGTCCCCCACTGACCACCCAGGAATATACACAGACACTGATTACATGAATATTCTTCCTTCCTTCCTTCCTTCCTTCCTTCCTTCCTTCCTTCCTTCCTTCCTCCCTCCCTCCCTCCCTCCCTCCCTCCCTCCTCTCTCTTTCTTTCTTTCTTTCTTTCTTTCTTTCTTTCTTTCTTTCTTTCTTTCTTTCTTTCTCTCTCTCTTTCTCTCTCTCTCCCTCTTTCTTTCTTTCTTTCTTTCTTTCTTTCTTTCTTTCTTTCTTTCTTTCTTTTAGAGAGACAGAGCCCACTTGTGAGCAGAGTAAGGGGGAAGGTAGAGGGAGGGAAAGAGGGTGAGAGAGAGAGAGAATGAGAAAGAGAGAATCTTAATCAGGTTCCCCACCCAGCATGGCACCTGATGCAGGGCTAGATCTCACAACCCTGAGATCATGACCTGAGCCGAAACCAAGAGTCAGACACTTAACTGACTTAGCCACCCAGGGGCCCCACATGAATATTCTTGATTCAGCTGACAGATATTGAATGCCTAATGTACCAGGAATTGAAGTAGGAATTAGGGCTAAAAAGAGAAATTAGAATGTCTGCCCCCAAGGAGTTTATAGGGGAAGCAACTATATACATGCGGTAAGTGCTTTAACAGAGGTAGAGAAAAATACACTGGAATCACAGAAAGGGGATTGCTCACTTCAGAGTAGGTGGAAAAGGAGTAAGCAGGGAGATTTCCCAGGGTTAAGGTGCTGTAGGTAGGTCCCCTCAGAATGAATAGCTTTAATAATAATGATTATGATAAGATGATGGTGGTGTGAAAAGAAGAATACCCTCAAATCTTTGAATTTTCACATGTTAATAGTGAGATGAAACTCCATTAGGTTGGGAACAGAACCCCTATAAGAAGTAAGCTGAACAATTCTCACAGCTCACACAGGGCTAAGAATGGTTTGTGCTCTATGGCCAGAGTTCAGATATGTCATAACTCAAGGGATTGTACAAGGAATTGAGTCCTTGGAACTATATCATCCTAATAGTGGAGTAAAGTTAGTTCCAGAGTAAAGGCTACTCTAGACTTGTGCTAACAAAGCTTGAAAGCTAGCTGAAAAAGGATCAAACTGATCCCAAGTAAGATAATCACATGCCAGAACAGAACCTAACTGTTTACAGGAAGACCATAAAATCCAGCATCTATCAGTTTACAACTCACAATGTCCAGCATTCAATCAAAGTTTATTATGCATGATTTAAAAATAATACCTAAGATAAAATGTGTACAAAAACTGTGTATTGGAAACTAGGAATCATTGCTGAGATATATTAAAGAAGACCTAAGCAAGTAGAGAGAAACGCTGTGTTTATGGATTGGGAGACTTTGAAACAACTTTGAAAAAGAATAGCAAAGTTGAAGGACTTATACTTCCTGCTTTCCAGATTTACTGTAAACTTCCAATAATTAAGACAGTGAGTGAGTATAGCATAAAGATAGACAAATATGTAAATAGAATGGAATAAAAAGTCCAGAAATAGACCCACAAAAATTCAGTGGAGGAAAAGATAATCTTTTCAATAAGTGGGCTAAAGCAATTGGATAGCCATATGCAAAAAAAAAAAAAAATAAGAAATGTCAGCCATATGCAAAAATTAACTTATATGGATCATACATCTAAACAGAGGAAAACAGAAAGCCTTTATGATCTTGAGTTTGGCAGAGGTTTCTTAAAGAGAACACAAAACTTATGAACTAAAAAATTTTAAATATCAATAAACTGGACTTAATCAAAATTAAAAACTTTTGCTCTTCAAAGGACCCTGTTACAGGGGCACCTGTGTGACTCAGTTGGTTAAGCGTCTGATTTCAGCTCAGGTAATGATCTCGCAGTTCATGAGTTTGAGCCCTTGCTTCAGGCTCTCTGCTGTTAGTGCTGTCAGTGCAGAGCCCGCTTCTGATCCTGTCTTCCTCGCTCTCTGCCCTTCCCCCATCTCACATATGCTCTTTCTCTCTCTCTCTCAAAAATGAACATATAAAAAAATAAAAAGACCCTGTCCCAAAAATGGAAGGACCCACCCAGACTGGGAAAAATATATGCTAAACATACATCTAACAGAGGATTTGTGTCTAGAATATATAAGGAATGCTTACAACTCAATAAGACATCACAATTTTTAAAATGGGCAAGATATCTGAACAGACACTTTACCAAAAAGGATATACAAATGGCAAATGAGCACATGAAAAGATGTTCTGCATCACTAATCATTAGGGAAATGCAAGTTAAAACCACAATGAGATTTACTGCACACCCACTAACTACAATGGCTAAAATCCTAATACTAAGTGATGGTGAGTATGTGAAGCTCTTGGATTCTCACACACTGCTAGGAGGAATGCAAAGTTAAAACACAATGTTGAAAAACCATCTGGCAGTTTCTCTAAAAGTTAAACAAACACCTCCCATATGATCCAGCAATCCTACTTTTAGGTGTTTACCCCCCAAAAATGAAAATATTTGTGTCTGTACAAAAACTTATACACAAATGTTCATAGCAATTTTATTTACAATAGCAAGAAACTGTAAACAATCTAAATGTCCATCAATGGGTGCATGGATAAACAAATCACAGAATATCCATTTGTATTAATCAGGATTTTCCAGAAAAACAGAACCAACAAGATACGTATGTAGGTAGTTAGGTAGGTAGGTAATAAGTATGTATATCATAAGGCATAAAATTATCCATCATACCATACAATGGAATACTACTCAGCATTATAAAAGTGAACTATTGGTATACAAAATAATATGCATAAATATCAAAATAACTGTTGAGTGAAAGAAGCAAGAAAAAAAGTATACCTGTATATCCATCTACATAAAATTCTAGAAAATACAAACTAATCTCTAATGATAGAAAACAGATCAGTGGTTCTCTGGGAATGGGAGTATAAAGAGGGAGGGATTACAAAGGCACACAATGAAACCATTGGGGGTGGTGGTTATGTTCATTGACTGTGGTGATGGATATACAGCTGAAAGCATATGTCAAAATTCATCAAATTGTACAGTTTAATGTATTTTTAAAGTTTATTTATTTATTCTGAGACAGCATGCACAGGGGAAGAGCAGAGAGAGGGAAAAAGAGAGAATCCTAAGCAGTCTCTGTGCTGACAGCACGGAGCCTGATGTGGGACTCAGTCTCACAAATTGTGAGATCATGACCTGAGTCAAAATTAAGTCAGACGCTTAACTAACTGAGCCACCCAGACACCCCCAATTGAAGGTATTTTTATATTTTATGCTATTATATATTTTATTTAAATATTTTATTGTATGTAAATTATGTCAATATTTAAACACCCACATTTAAATTTTTCTAGGTATGTAAAGAAGTAGGAAAATATGGTTCATAATCAAGAAAAAAAAATCAACCAATAGAAAGAGACCCAGAGGGGCGCCTGGGTGGCGCAGTCGGTTAAGCGTCCGACTTCAGCCAGGTCACGATCTCGCGCTCCGTGAGTTCGAGCCCCGCGTCGGGCTCTGGGCTGATGGCTCAGAGCCTGGAGCCTGTTTCCGATTCTGTGTCTCCCTCTCTCTCTGCCCCTCCCCCGTTCATGCTCTGTCTCTCTCTGTCCCAAAAATAAATAAAAAACGTTGAAAAAAATTAAAAAAAAAAAAAAAAAAAGAAAGAGACCCAGAGATGTTATAGATGCTAGAACTAGTTACAGAGAAGTTAAAACAGCCATTTTAAATATATTACATATGTTCAAGACCATAGAAGAAAACATGAACATGATAAGGAAGAAAAAAGAAGGTGTGTGTGTGTATATAACCAGTCTAAACTAGTAAATTTGAAATGAGTTTTCTTCTGTAGTTCTACTGGAGAATCCTTTGTCTATGGCAAATGTAGATAGCTTTGAAGTGAACTAATGAGAAGCAATTGCACATGCGCGCACACACACAAGGTATCTTTGTATATATGTTATCATCTATTAAAATTTTAGAAAGATCTATAATGTATACCAGAGGTTTGGACTGAAAAAAGACACATTATTTTGTCTGACTGATTGCCTTGGAGTTTAATGAATTTCTGCAAGGTAGTTTTTTCAAGTGAGGAGAAACAAATCTTTTTGGAACCAATTCCTACATTCTTCATTCAGCTAGACTATTTTTTGAGGAAATATAATCAACTAGAAAAAAAAAGGGGGCTTTTTTTTTCTTATCTATAAGAAACAGTCTACAGTCAGCCCCACACATTCATGAAGGTCAGCAAAGAACCCAAATTTTTTATTTTTGGTTGATCAACCACTGACAGCACTTTTACAGATATCCCAAAAGGTTAACTCCTTTGCAATGAAAGGAACTAGACCTACTGGCCACTTTATAAAGAAAGAATCATTATGGAAAAAGACTGGAATTGAAAAATGTGCCCCAACATTAAGAATCCGTATAAAATACAGTTCTTGAAATTCAAAAGAAGAAATATTTTTCTCTTACACTCAAAAAAAAAAAAAAAAAAAAAAAAAAAAAAAAAAAAAGAGATTCTTTTAACTCAAAATAGCCAAGGATCATTGTCCTCATTACCCTTTATAACCAGAGTTAAAGGGGAAAATGGATATAAAATTATTAATTATACCACTTTTACTCATTAAGGTCTTGGAGAAATAAAAAAAATGGTAATCCTTGAATAAATTAAATATGATTTAGGGCTCTGTCAGTGGGAACAGAGAGGAAGGGAGGAATCTTACTGATATTTTAAAAATTGAGGAAATAATTACAAACCAATACAAATGGACCCCACTGCTCTGATGACACTCAGAAGTGTGCCTTCAGCTATTTTATTGCTCCTTAGTAAGCGAACCAATGGTGCAATTCCATTTCCTTCACATATTTGATTTTGATGCATCCTGCTGTCCTTACTTAGAGCTATGACTGCTTCACCTCCTGGTAAAGAAAAGCAAGAAACATGTCCGACACTTCAGTGTGCTGCTTTACATTGTGCAAATGGATGCATAGAAAAGAACTCACCAACATACTGCATTTTAGCTGATGGTGACAAAAGCATATTTATTATAAAGTTGTATCCAATCTGTTCTGCCATATACTTCTGTTGTTTCAGGGTTTGTCCTGCCAAGGCCCAAAGGGCTACAGCTCCTTGTTCCTTAACATCTATTTGAAATGCCTATTAAAAAAATATATTCCATTCTTTCAATGAGCATCGATTGAACACTGTAGGAATGTTTTATAAAATGTTTATTCTAGAATTGGTTTTAGTTTTCTTTTCACTTTACAAAATTCAATATTGAATACTTTGTCTAAGAAAAATGACAAGTAATCATAAAAATTCCTACCTTGAGGAGTTTTAAAAGATATTTACTTAATGATTTTTCCAGAAATTCTCTCTGTATGCATGGGTTGTAACTCGCCAGTGATTCCACAGCCATTGCACCCTTCACTTGGACACTAAGGTGTTTCCGTTTAAAAAGGGCCACCAGAGGAGGAATGGCTCCCTCTGAAGCCATAGCGTTCTGAACTTCCCTGTTGTCACGTGCCACCTCAGCAATCGTTGCAGAAGATACAGCCTTCAACACATCTTCAAATCAATCCAAGGAACAGTTAAATAAATCTTTTAAAAATATTTTAAAAATGCAACTTGTCATTGGATTCTCATATTATAGAATCAAACTTATAGAGTGTGTAAAAATTTAGAAAATAAAGAAAAATAGAAATAAAACCACCCAGATTCTCACCACCCAAACACAAATATTTTGTTTATCTCATTAACTTTTATTTTTTAAAAAAAAGCCTACTTATTTATTCTGAGAGAGAGAGAGAGAGAGAAAGAGAGAGAGAGCAGGGGAGGGGCAGAGAGAGAGAAAAGTCCAAGCAGGCTCTGTGCTAAGAGCACAGAGCCTGATATGGGGATCGAACTCACAAATGCTGAGATCATGACCTGAGCAGAGTTCAAGAGTTGGACACTTAACCAACTGAGCCACCCAGGTGCCCTATTCTCATTCACTTTTTAAGTGAAAAGACATATTTAAATAATGTTCTGGACATATTTTATATAGTTGTACTATAAGCACAATATCCTGCATTTTAATTTACAAGTAAAACATTTTCCCTTTCTTTATGAACATCGTCTCTCAAATATTCATTAATGAATGTATTACATTTCCTTAGCCATTCACATTTTTTTAAGTTTATTTATTTATTTTGAGAGAGAACAAGTGTGAATGGGAGAGGGGCAGAGAGAAAGGAAGAGAGACAATCCCAAGCAGGCTCCTGACTGATAGCACATGGCTCAATCTTATGAACCATGAACCAAAATCAAGAGCCGGACACCTAACTGACTGAGCCACACTGAGTGGTAGGAAAACCTCACATTAAAAAAAAAAAAAAAAAATACATGGTGTTTCCAACTTTTCACTGTTTTAAACAATGTTTAGGAGAAATGTTGGCACATAAGGTATTTTTCCTTACTGTTTCTTCCCTTAGTATAGTGTCCCAGGAATTCCTGGAGTAATTTAATATATCACATTAAATTACTTTCCAAAATTGACCATTGCATCTTAGCCTTTCATAATCAGAGTATGAGCGTTTCAATGTTGCTGTATCTTTTTAAATATAGATATTATCATTAAGAATAAATACATAAATTTAGCTAATTTGATAGGCAAAAAATTGTATCTCCTATTTCATATTTTTGGTTACTGGTGAGACTACAGAATTTCATATATACTTTTTAACCAGTTGTACTTGTTCTCTTTAAAACTTACAGGAAAGTTTCAAGAATAAATCTGAGAGCTCTCTCAAGATTTAGCAACAATTGATAGACATCCATCATTTTTTTAACTTTTTTTTTTACTTTCTGTCACAGTATGATGTTTCAGACTCACCAATTCCTGCTCTGCTCTACCCCTGAAATAAACCATTTTTCCAAGAAGTTCTGGTTCCTTTTAATTAGGAATGGTACTTAGAAATCAAGATTTGCGGGGCGCCTGGGTGGCGCAGTCGGTTAAGCGTCCGACTTCAGCCAGGTCACGATCTCGCGGTCCGTGGGTTCGAGCC